AAAAAATATGTCCAAGAGATTTCCGCATGGCTAGGTCATTTTTTACGGTCCGGCAAATTTTTTCTTCTGTATATAAAGTGTATACATTTTAGGGAAAAAAACACCATTTTCACGAGCTTACCGTTCAAAAACTATTTGACCAAATTCGTTGCAATTTCGATTTTGTACAACGTTGGAGGGCCTTCTTTACATATTGTAAGTTTTAAAATCATAACCCAAGAAATATGTCCAAGAGATTTCCGCATGGCTAGGTCATTTTTTTTGGTCCGGCAAATAGTTCTTTCTGTATATAATGTACTTAAAAAAGGTAGATTGTATTACTTAATTAGTTAAGACGATCTTCTTAAAGCTTTATAGGGCTCAAAGGCTCAGAGATTTAACACAAGGAAATAAGAGGAACAGGTCCACGTTCAATAGTCGCTATTCAGGCCTGTGATTCAATTTCGTAAAAAACGCATTATTTTTCTCGTGTTAACTGTTGAAAAACCATTTGACTAATTTCGTTGCAAATTCAATTTTTTACAACTTTGGAGGGTCTTCTTTACATATTGTAAGTTTTAAAGCCCTAACCCAAGCAACATGTCCAGGATATTTCCGCATGGCTTGGTCATTTTTGGACCGGCGATTTGTTCTTTCTCTATATAAATTTCGAGAAAAACATCATTTTCACGAGCTAACCGTTCAAACAATATTTGACCAATTCCGATGCAAATTTGATTTGTACAAATTTGGAGGGTCTTCTTTAAATATATTAAGGTTTAAAGCCCTAAATGTCAGACTTTTTCGACAGATTAAATATTCTATGCCGTCAAAGGTTGAATTGTTATGTCTTTAACAATTGTTGTTGTTCTTTTTGTTTGTTTTTTCTCATGCGAAAGTGTTCATGCGAGTATATTATTCGGTTATGTCTATTAGTGTTTTATGGTAAATGTTTAAAGTCGTATAACTTCCTATACTGAAACAATGATCGACACTCGAAATTTCCGTAATTGATGTACATTATTGAGTTCACCCGGTCACTATATGAACGCAAGTTTAAATGTCAATTCATATATTATAATATTTAAAAAGAGTATAGATAAGTGCAAACGTATTTAAAAAAAAACAATCATAACTTTAATAATGTTGAAAAAGTTATGTAATTATTAACCCGTAATTTAGCTTATTACGCTATAACGGCCTAATTATTTCATGGAAAGAAAGATTAGTTATTATCCGGAACTCGGCAAATGTGGGTTTTCCATGCTTATCCACGGGTACAAACAAATTTTTACCGTTATAGCTTCACGGAGTACACTATCGGTCACAATAGATAAGTCAACCTGTTGCAATTTTTTCGATACTGTAACTGTAAAAGTTTGTTTGTACTCCTGGAGTAAGTCTATGATAATAGATATGATAATAATGATCGCTCAACAAATATAATGTCAGAACATTTTGAAAAAGAAAACACCATGGAGGCAATGTATGAGGATGTTAAAATTAAAGTTAGTATCACTTTATACTATCATATTTACAGTCATTTATTACAGTGTTGCTTTTTGTTGCTTTGTCTCGTTTCCTAGCTACTAATGAAACCTTGCGGACATTTGTCAGTTTGTATGTAGATAACCAATGTGGCTTCATTTGTTTTGATGTGCATCTATCTTGACCTGCTAACAAAAGAGATGACATATGCGTATGTCTTCGAACGTTAACTTTTTATAAAAACATAAATTTCATACAAGACTATTTGTAACCTAGAACCGTATAAAACTATTAAATCCTATGAAAAGGTGAGAAGATAAATCATATACATGTATCTACGATTGCATAAACTGATAAAGGTGACATTTGTAGCTTCAAGATAATATCTCGAGGTATATTTTTAGGTCACGAGGTAATTAGTCATGGCCACAAGATAATAACTCCTGGCCACGAGATAATATATTGAGGTCACAAGATAATAACTCGTGGCCACGAAATAATATATTGAGGCAACAAGATAATAAGTCGTGGCCACGAGATAAAATATTGAGGCCACAAGATAATAACTCGTGGCCACGAGATAATATATTGAGGCAACAAGATAATAACTCCTGGCCACGAGATAATATATTAAGCCACAAGATAATAACTCGTGGCCACGAGATAATATATTGAGGCAACAAGATAATAACTCCTGGCCACGAGATAATATATTGAGGCCACAAGATAATAACTCGTGGCCACGAGATAATATATTGAGGCAACAAGATAATAATTCCTGGCCACGAGATAATATATTGAGGCCACAAGATAAAAACTCGTGGCCACGAGATAATATATTGAGGCCACAATATAATAAGTCGTGGCCACGAGATAATATATTGAGGCAACAAGATAATAACTCCTGGCCACGAGATAATATATTGAGGCCACAAGATAATAACTCGTGGCCACGAGATAATATATTGAGGCAACAAGATAATAACTCCTGGCCACGAGATAATATATTTAGGCAACAAGATAATAACTCGTGGCCACGAGATAATATATTGAGGTCACAAGATAATAACTCGGGGCCACGAAATAATATATTGAGGCTACAAGATAATAACTTCTGGCCACGAGATAATATATTGAGGCCAGAAGATAATAACTCGTGCCACGAGATTATATATTGAGGCAACAAGTTAATAACTCCTGGCCACGAGATATAATATTGAGGCCACAAGATAATAAATCCTGGCCACTAGATAATATATTGAGGCCACAAGATAATAACTCGTGAACACGAGATAATATATTGAGGCCACAAGATAATAACTCGTGGCCACGAGATAATATATTGAGGCCACAAGATAATAACTCGTGGCCACGAGATAATATATTGAGGCCACAAGATAATAACTCGTGGCCACGAGATAATATATTGAGGCCACAAGATAATAAGTCGTGAACACGAGATAATATATTGAGGCCACAAGATAATAAGTCGTGAACACGAGATAATATATTGAGGCCACAAGATAATAAGTCGTGAACACGAGATAATATATTGAGGTCACAAGATAATAACTCGTGGCCACGAAATAATATATTGAGGCTACAAGATAATAACTTCTGGCCACGAGATAATATATTGAGGCCAGAAGATAATAACTCGTGGCCACGAGATAATATATTGAGGCAACAAGTTAATAACTCCTGGCCACGAGATATAATATTGAGGCCACAAGATAATAACTCCTGACCACGAGATAATATATTGAGGCCACAAGATAATAACTCGTGAACACGAGATAATATATTGAGGCCACAAGATAATAACTCGTGGCCACGAGATAATATATTGAGGCCACAAGATAATAACTCGTGGCCACGAGATAATATATTGAGGCAACAAGATAATAACTCCTGGCCACGAGATAATATATTGAGGCCACAAGATAATAACTCGTGGCCACGAGATAATATATTGAGGCCACAAGATAATAAGTCGGGAACACGAGATAATATATTGAGGCCACAAGATAATAAGTCGTGAACACGAGATAATATATTGAGGCCACAAGATAATAAGTCGTGAACACGAGATAATATATTGAGGTCACAAGATAATAACTCGTGGCCACGAAATAATATATTGAGGCCACAAGATAATAAGTCGTGAACACGAGATAATATATTGAGGCCACAAGATAATAATTCGTGAACACGAGATAAAATAATGCTGCAAAATGTCACCTCTTTGCCACCGTACATATCTGAAACAAAATATTCAATGTCAATATAAGCATGCGTCTTGATTGAAAAAGAATAATATTATATCAATTGACGATTGTCGAATGATAGAAACATAAGTTATTTTTACAAAATATGTTGTGAACAAAAGTTTGCGATTTTTCTGACGTCTGTTATCAGTTTGACTTTCTTTAAATTAATAGTGTAAAAGAATTTTCATTTGTCTTATTTCAAATCACAGGCTGAAATCGGTGAATTTCATTGGTCATTCTTAAATAAAATGGACAGCTCTAACCATTCTGAAATAAGATTTAAATGATAGTTCTTTTCATTCTTACCATTTTTAAATGAATTTTAAGGAATTTCTATGATAAAAAATAAGAGAAAGTTTTGCCACTATAAATTAGAAAGTAGACGATAGTTCTAAAGTTCTAAAATAAAATGTTATTTTTTTTTTGTTTGTTTTTTTTTTCTTTCTTTTTTTAGGTCAATTTTTAAATGATTACAAAATTTATAAAGTCAAACGTAAAACAAGTAAGAGGGACACCTTAAATAGAAATTTATTTTCTTTGTAAAATCACCAATATTCATATGCTATGAATTAGTTTCAATGTTCACAAAAAGTTGGTGTTTTCTTAATAGCTACAAGAAATAATTATTATGTCATTGTTATGCAAGCATTGCTAACATTTCTTTTTGTATTGACAACTTTTCTTGTTTAACAGATTTACTTTGGCCGAGATACTTCTTGTTGTGTTTTAAAGAAAATGAGGGAAAAAAGATTTTCAAAAATATGAAAAACTGTTTTTATCCATTTATAATAAATCAAGGAGTTGCCGAAATTGAGGCCTATACAGTCCGAGTTTTTATTTAAAAGTGTCTTCCTAACATATCTGAAGTCATTCGAGTAATTGCATCTGACTTATACGAAATCTTAAAAAAAATAATATCAAATAAATTTAATTGAAGATAGCCATACAGTATGGTTTTGTTGAAAATAAAAACAAAAGAAAATATTTGCATGGCCTTTAGGCAGTGTAATGTGTAGGCACGGGCTTTTCGTGCACTTACATTGAATCGGACATTATTCACTTTTATTCATTCAAAAAGATAATAAAATGTTGCCATGTTCATGTTTAATTGTCAGAAAGAATGTTAGAAATAATTTTTCTAAGTGCCGGTTTCTCAGTATCACATACGTTGAAAGTATAAGTGGAGACACAGTTTGAGTTTTAGCCTATTTCAACAAACTGCTTTTAGTTTCGTACAAAAAAAAATTCACTGCTTAAGCCAACAATACCTTTGTTCATGGAAATGACCATCCAATATGTTTGCTAAAGTTTTCGATTAACTAATTTTGTTTGCAATCAAGTGAACTACAAATTCGAATTCTTTTCTCTTAGCTTAACATTTTTAGGTCTAAATGGCCGCCTATATGACTGAAATACTGTTGGGAAAAGGCGTAAACTGAAACAAACAAAAACAAAGGTCTTAATGGAAGACTCATGTTATGGACACTATTTATATTTTTTGTGAATGAATTATCCTCTTTATTAACAAATCTTACATTACCAAGGCATTTATTTTACAATTAAGCACGGAGCATAGTCGACAATTCTTGTTTTTTTTTATTCATATCATATATCATAATTATGATCCTTATTACAAGACAATATATGAGCCGTGCCATGATAAAACCAACATAATGGGTTTGCGACCAGCATGGATCCAGATCAGGATCCATGCTGTTCGCTTACAAACCCTATTATAAGTACAGAAACTGATAGCGAACAGCATGGATCCTGTTCTGCGCAGGCTGGTCTGGATCGATGCTGGTCGCAAACCCATTATGTTGGTTTCGTCGTGACGCGGCTCATATAGTAACAAAAAACAACTTTTTTCCAGTCCTCACTACCACTGTACGCTATGTTACGTTAACCTTTGAATACTGACTTTATTTGGATAGGCAATGGTGACGGTTGTAATAGACAAATATACACCATTGAGATCGTGAATATCTGTTGTATGGACTCCATAATCACACCACTTCCAAGATGTTTTTTTCTGCGGTGGTACATACATAAAATACATGGTACATATCTATATACTAAATAACTGCCTCTACTCAGGTGCCCGTTCGTGCCTGAAATAATGCACGAAAGGGCGCCTTAGGTCTTCCTCCACCAGTAAAGCTGGAACGTCGCGATATGACCTATACTGTGTCGATGTGACGTAAAACCCAAAACAAACAAACAAAAATAATTTCCAACAACCTAGCTACCAATGTGACGCCCATATTAAATTCCATGTTCAAGAAATTTCGGTTTTTTACATTTCAGATACAGGAAATAACCGAACAATTTGGAGTTTCGTTTGTGCTTTCATCCAGACTAGGACACCATGGTAATTCACTTACATTTTTTATAATAACAGAATTTCGTAGAATCACATAGGTTTTTAATTTGTTATATAAGAAGTTGACGCCTTGTGAAGTAAAGAATCAAGCTTGTTACATTTCCTTACTTTAAACCATTTCAAACAATTCTAAATCTTAGATATACAATGTATATTTTGTCCAATGTTCACACAAAAAAGATTGGAAAGATAAACCAAACAAATATTAATCATAAATATATATTTTTTCAAAGATAATTGATAATTCAAAATTTTTACAAGAATGTTTCATGCCTGTCATGGGTTATAAAAAATCCATTAACGTTGTCCGCCACTACTCGGTAATCGAACGTTACTCAGCTCCCAAACTCCTCACAGTGATTACCTCCCTTGGAAGAATTGCACTGATAAGGGGAGATCACTGCGTAGGGGGTTGCTCAGCTCCATGTACGGTCTATAGTGTTGTTTGTCTGTATCAGTGTATGGTTCAGTTGTAACGTTTCTGAGTAATAGAAAGAGCACTGAAACACGAGGCTATCTGATTTGTACGAGGGGGCGTAGCCCCCGAGTATTAATCAGATTGCCGAGTGTTTTGGTGTTCTTTCTCTTTTGTATCATAGTCAAACATAAAAGCACGTTCCCTGTTGTCACAATATGAAACCCCGGCAAAAATGAACCAATGAACGAACATCTGAATATGACATTTCTGTCGCTTTCCCTTTATCTGCCGTCACAATATGTAAACCCCAGCAAAATTAGCCAATCAATGGGCATGATCTGGAGTGCGGGTAACTAATACCCGCACTCCAGTTAACGCACTGTGCATGTATATGTATACGATTTAACCCTGACACATTTTCAACAGAAAGGTCTCCAAACTATGATACAAGTGATATTGTATTGGTATTGTAAAAAGTATACTTTTCAGTTAAAACAGTTACTAAAATGCTATTAGTATGTTGTTGCAAAATATATCATAGCTTGACTGCAAAGCATTAGGTAATAAATCAATGATTTCCTGGGCGTTTTCTGTTGTCTCGCGTTAACAGGGATAACTATTGGAACTATTACCCTCGGCCTTCGGCCTCTGACAGTACTTACAATGTCCTCCCTGATATATAGGGGAACAGTTTTTAGCTCGACTTTTCTATGAAAAGGGGAGCTATCCTACTCGCCCCGGCGTCGGCGTCGGCGTCGGCGTCGGCGTCGGCGTTGGCGTCACACCTTGGTTAAGTTTTTCGTACCACCCCACTTTATTTCAGAAGTATTACAAGTATGGCTTTGAAACTTACCATACTTGTTCACCATCATAACCTCCATCTACAGACAAGAGTACATAACTCTGTCAAGGTTTTTGACAGAATTATGGCCCTTTTTTGACTTAGAAAGTGTATTGAGCTTGGTTAAGTTTTTTGTACCACCTCACTTTATTTCAAAACCATTGGAGGTATTGCTTTGAAACTGACCATACTTGTTTACCATCACGACCTTCATCAACAGACAAGAGGACATAACTCTGTCAAGGTTTTTGACAGAATTATGCCCCTTTTTGACTTAGAAAATACATTGAATATGGGTAAAATCCACTTATTGCCTTAACCCTTTGAGATATTGCTTTGAAACTTTTAATGCTATTTCACATCATTACCCCCATCTGTACGCAAGAGAAGGTAACTCTGTCAAGGATTTGTTTTAAAAATTAAGGCCTTTTATCGACTTAGAATCTTGGTTAAGTTTTTAGTACCAGTCCACTTTTTGACTGAACTGTTTGAGATATTAATTTGAAAGTTGGAATACTTGTTTACCATCATGGTCCCAAAACATGGGCAGGAGAAGGTAATTCTGTTAAGGATTTTATTTGAATTATGGCCCTTTTTGACTTAGAAACTCAGTTAAGATTTTCATTCTTGTCCACTTGTTGACTTAACCATTTGAGATATTTACTTTGGAAGTTGGAGTTCTTATGTGCCATCATGAGACCTATCTGTAAGCAAGAGAAGATAACTCTGTGAAAATGTTTCTTGATTTGTACTTAGAAATTCCTAGTTAAAGTCTTGTGTGCCCTTAACTGTCAAAGTTTTGTTTTATAGGCAAGCACTAAAAAAGTCGAGCGCGCTGTCCTTCTGACAGCTCTTGTTACTATTCCTTCCACAAACTCGTGAAATAACTGTACATGTGTCACGGTTCAGAACTGTTCACTATATAGGGGAAAAGATGTGTAAGCGGCCGGATAGCTCAGTCGGTAGAGCCGCGGTACGGTATTCCGAGGGTCCCGGGTTCGAGTCCCGGTCAGGCTGCACATTTTTCTCACCCTGTGACATTTGGCGCCCAACGGGGGACCGTGACTGAATACAGCTCAGAGTTTAATTCACATTGCTCTGTAACTCTGTGAAATTCGAGGACGAATTTCAATATAGCAGGGGAGTATGTCACGGTTCAGAACTGTTCACTATATAGGGGACAAGATGTGTAAGCGGCCGGATAGCTCAGTCGGTAGAGCCGCGGTACGGTATTCCGAGGGTCCCGGGTTCGAGTCCCGGTCAGGCTGCACATTTTCTCACCCTGTGACACATGTATATTGTTGAGACGAATACTGATTCTATAAGACTTGTACACAACTGTTCAACCTATATCCAACACTGCTATAACCTATTCCAATATAGGTTTGACAGCTGTGTACTCGTCCAATAGAATTCAATATTGCATTAGATATTTTACACTGAAAATTATTCAGTTCTTTGTAAGAAAGAAATACTACTTGTTTACAATGTAATACTTTTATTACAAAAATCCCCTTGTGGCTTGAGGGTTGCCTGTAAAGGTTGAGAGGTCATAATTGCAGCCATCGTTTATCCATGTATGATTGTAAGAGGTGACTTTTAAAATGGATTTGAATTACTGGAGTCTGCGGATCTCTTAGCTCAAGCAGGTGAGGCGGTTTTTTGTGCCCCGGTGTTCCTTAAGTTTGTAACACCTGACGTTAGCCAAAATCGTCTTAAAGTTTCCTATTTCGGCGCCATATCACCTTAATTGTGTTGGTGCGCCGTAAAACCAAACACATTAAACATCAGAAAGTCTTCTTATGCCTTTCATTACAAGCATGTGTTAATAAAGTTGTTTAATGAGATATAAAAGTTTTTAACGTATACTTTATATCTTTTATTCATTATGATACATGCTGTCTTGATTGAAACTTTAGCTGTTACTCGTTTTTAACCACCTGAATTTTTTGTTACTTCAGAATTGATCCATGTAAGGTTTCAAAGCTCGTGACGTATCGGGGTGGGGTGGGCTGAAATATTGTTATACTTATAAAATCATGTTTTTGCGCATTTTGATACTTACGGTATATCGTAGTGTAGGATATCATCGAATAACTAAAGTAAAACCTTTTCTAAAAGATAGTCATGTGTTAAAATATTGAATTCTCTGAACTTTTATTCTAGGTACTTGCGAGCTCGAGCCAGCTGTACAGAAAGAAGTGGAGGAGGCAATACGAAAATGTAAAATAATATATAATTGAGCCGCGTCACGACAAAACCAACATAGTGCGTTTGCAACCAGCATGGATCCAGACCAACATGCGCATCTGCGCAGTCTGATCAGGATCCCTGATGTTCGCTTACCAACTCTATTACAAGTAGAGAAAAGTGAACAGCATGGATCCTGATCAGACTGCGCGGATGCGCAGGCTGGTCTGGATCCATGCTGGTCACAAACGCACTATATTGGTTTTGTCGTGACGCGGCTCATATGATGGTTTGCTCTTTCTGTTACATTTTATCAAACCATCCGGGTAGAATATAATCAGGCCGTCTGTCCGTATGTTCAAGTAAATCTTTTCCGGCAACATAGATATAAATCATTGTCTTATTTTATTTAATTGTGTCGCTTGCTTCATAATTTACATAAATTTATACATCTTAAGCAAGTTACATAACGATGGTCTTAATTTTTTGCACGTGTGATGTTAAACCTTTCAATGTTATTAGAATGAAAATTTACATGCCTTCGTATGGGGTAATTACTTTTATCATATGATATAAAAAGTTGCATTGACATTGGTTCTAACAGTAGTCAACAAAACATTGTAAAATCATATTCGCTGGGTGAAGTATAATATTCACTGGCTGAATTTGACTTTTCCTACCTTAAATACAATCAAACTCGTATTCAATGACCATAATCATAGATTATTAATAAAAAAAAATGTTGCATTTTGTTTTTTATGGAAGAGATGTGAATTATATGATGTCATTGTGTGATTTTTATTTTTTGTTGAAATTTACCCAGAACTTTTTAATTTTGTTGGTAATTGTTATAATATATCTTGCTATATGTTACATGTATCCATGAATTGCTTTTCAATATATTGTTTTGCATTTCTATCAGATAGTAAGCCTCAAACTTACTTAGAACTAAGTGTCCGTTTAGGACTTTAATTCAGTGTAGTTAAAATATACTATTTACATCTATTCTAGGCGACGATGAATTACTCAAATCAGCCAGATTATTACGCACAATAGTAACAAATCTTGTTGCTGGCAAAGGTATGTGACAATGTAGAAACTTTATAGTTTTCCTATCTTCTATCAACAAAAAACCAAGCAGTTTTAACATGGCTTGTTTGATATATATAATTAAAATGATTTTATGTTTCATGTTAATAAATTTTCTTAGTGATTATATCTATATCTTAAGTTTTAGCTTAGCATGCGTCCTGTTTTATTCAAATTGATAAGGAAATTTATCCTTGAAAGAAGTTTTCTTCAAACTTATATGAGATACCTTAAAGGGACTCCACTTAGGTCCAAAAGTCAAAAAGCATAACTTTTGAATTCTTTAATAGAGGATGTTAAAACCTTCAGAAAAAAAGTCATGCAAAGGATAATTTCAAAAATAGATAGATAAATAAGTAAATAAATTAACGAATAAATAAAATCAGAATACATATGTTTGTTGTTATTTCAAATTCTTTAATATTTTTTAAACTCTTTTCACTTATTTGGATCATTTTGCTAAACGAAAATAATTACTCGTAGAAAAAGAAAAAAACGCAGTGAGATAATGATATGAAACTTTGCACACAAGTTATACATTATTGGTATTGACCTAAATCATATGGACTAAAAATATAAATTTTCCTTTCCCGTCATTAAAAAGAAAGATTCCCTCGCAGGAGTCCCTCTTAAAATGACATACCATTTGCTTTGACCACCAAGTATAAAAAAGCTATGCTAAGAATGATTCTATATACTTGCTATGTTGTAGACGGAAGTTATAAGTCATACTAAAGTTATCTTAAATTTCTCTATATAGAAATGTTAATAAGATGTAACACCAATGTGTGTAATATACTTTCTTTAATTGTTTGTCGTAGGAAAAAAGAAATACAGACCCGGTAATGAACCAGAGTGGTGGCTCCAGACAGGGATCCCGTTTATATGCCCATGGAAGGGATGTAGGTCGATTATAGTTTTGTCTCTTAGAATGTTTCTTGACATGCGTATTGTGTTAATGTCTTACCTTTAATGTGGCATTCAGTTTTTTTATATTTTGTTGGAAATACAATTACCCTGTGTTGTTTCCAACTAAGTACTTACGTAATTTTATCATGGAAAAATGCACAATATAACTGTCAGCCTTCTTTAAAACAGAGTCCCGAGAGCTATTTATAACGAGTAAGTGACGTACGTTATTAAAAGTGGAATATCGGAAAACAATGGCCTGCTCATAATTTATATATAGAGAGCGGGCCGGTAGATTTTGTGTTGCCACCTTCATTCTTCTGATTTGACAATTGCATTAAACGATTTATCTAAAAATAACATATTTAATTTTTAGCTCGACTGTACAAAGTATATGGAGAGCTGTCCTACTCGCCCCGGCGTCGGCGTCCGCGTCCAGATTTCAGATTAAAGTTTTGGTGCAGTAAAATATTTTTCACTATAACTTTGTCATTTCTTAAGGTATCAACTTCAAACTTCAAATAAATGTTCCTTATCATCAACCACATCTTATGTGACAAGGTTCATAACTCTAGCACTAAATAGCACTAAAAATACTATTTTTACTGTAACTTCTTTATTTCTTAAGGGATCAACCTCATACTTCAAATGTATGTATCTTATCATCATCCCCGTCTTGTGTGACAAGGTTCATAATTCTAGCACCAATATCTTCAGATTTATCTCCCCTTGAACTTATAATTTACCTTAAAAAATACTATTTTTTACTGTTACTTCTTTATATCTTAAGGATTCAACCTCATACTTCAAATTTGTGTACCTTATCATCATCCTCGTCTTATGTGACAAGGTTCATAACTCTAGCACCAATATTTTCAGATTTATCTCCCCTTGAACTTAGAATTTTCCCTAAAAAAAACCCCACTTTTTTCTACTGTTATTTATTTTTTTCTAAAGGGTACAATATTAATATATGTGTTTATCATATCCATTTTAGTGGAAAGATTATAATCTAGCACAATATTTCAGATTATTTCCCATTGAACTTAGAATTGGTCTTAATAAATCTCTTTTTTACTGTATTCTTTTTTTTTAAAGGGATCACCTCATATTCAAATGTATGTACTTATTCTTGGAATGCTTTCGGCTATTATCTAATAATAACTCGGGACATCGGATTGAAAGTAGTTTACAGTGATTTCATATTGTAAAGAAAGAGATAATGTAAACAAATGTATATATTTGAATTAATGTTGTTCTGGTTGCCCATGTTTTGAATATGTTGGAAAAAAATTGTATTTAAATTTATGCAACTGAATGTTAATTTTAACAAATCGACCCTAATATTAACCAGGTTGGTTTTTTTGTACTTTCAGGTTTCTACCGCATATTAAGTAAATAATATAATAATGTATTGGTTTGCTTTTTGTTTATGATTACTTATTTTAGGTGGATTTTACTACATTATATTGGAATACTTGTCAACTCCAGATTAAATTACCTATTTGTTTACAATGTTTAGTTTCTTAGCGTAGGTTAGACCGATACCGCATCGTTTGTGTATTATACTATTGTGTTTGGGTCTTATCCGACGACTGACGAAAGGGCGAGTAGTTTGCGATTTGTATTATCAATACATCCGGTCTTATTGTGCAAGGTTATAAATCCTAGCATTATTCAGATTATTTCCTTGATTAGTTTTATTAAAAATATTATTTTTTTACGTATTATTATAAAGGATAAATTAACTCAAATATTTGATATATATACACATTTATGTGATTAAGGTTCATAATTCTAGTTAATATATATTGTAAGAATTCTTTTATTCTTAGTATTTTTTACCTATGTTGTGTTTTTATATCTTTTTTAGTTTTTAAGGTATTACCTCTAATTAAATATTTATTCTTAATATTATCTTATGTGATATTGTTCATATTCTTGAAGCATTTATATGATTTATTCCTTTTGACTTGGGATTTTTTTAAAGAAATATTTAACTTCTTTACTTTAAGGTTATTAAACTTATATATATTTATCATAATCGGTAATTAGCGTGATATTAGAGATTATTCCTTGATTCAAATTTGTTAATAGATGTTTTTTTTTACTATAATATATTTAATTATACAAATTGTATTTCCATAGGTTTTGTCTTCTTACTGGTTCAGTATTTTATAGAGTGAGTTGTGTTCCTGTGAGCCTTGTTAGAACTTGAGGCAGCTTTAAATTATCATTTATTTGTTTCTTCGTTTGTTGTGTTATTGTATTTTGTTATAATTATGCCCTGGATTATTTGTCAGACGATTCTTAATTATTTCATTTAATTAAGGGAGTAAAAGGAAGTAATGTATTGCAATAGAAACAGAAATATTTTTGTATTATTTTATAAAAGCCCGGTGTTTATATGGCATAGTTTTCCTCATACTTTATTGATAATGCATTTATGAAACTTTAATAGGAATATTTATTATAGATTAAGGAGAACGCTAAAAGAAAAGGAATTAAGGAGCTATCAAGCAGTAGGAAGATTCAGAAAGGTATATTTTTAATGAAAAATGAGAGTAGGCTCAGAACGAATTCGAGTCTGTATGCTTAGCCATTTTGCAGATGAAAGGAAGTTTAGAAGTTTTAGTCTGGATAAGTCTTAAAAACAAAAATATACACATCTTTTTCTTTTCAAAGAAAATGTCTTAAATAATGACTCCCTTGTAATAGCCCTTTTAATTACAATTGTATATTAAAAGATTGCGGGTTAAAGCGCGTAGTGTCATTCTGTTTCTTAACTTTGCTAAAAGGGGAAAATCATTGGAGTACATGTATTTAATGATCATTGAAACGATTTTGAGTTAGTCCAAAAGTTGGTGTATTACGCCGAAGGGCTTTCTACTAAATGCAGCCTAAGATCAAAGATTTTTTTTTCTTTTTGTTACTGAAGTTTTATATTTTGGTACGTAAACCCCTGTAATTTTTTATCGACAGTTTAATTATTCAAAATAGCACAAATTCAATATCCAAAGTTGAAAACATAGATAGGTGATTTCCATATCGAACAAAACTTTATAACAGATTTATATCGTAATTAGGGGATACTGCTTAAAGACAACAGTATGTCTCAGAAACAAATAAATTTTTAACTTCTTGAGAAAGGTCAAACACGAGTTTTTATAATTTAAAAGAAGTTTATTGTGTAATTTTGAGGCTTTTTGGCTGCTTTCATGTGTTAAATGATAAAAACATGCGACTTTATATTGAATTAGGCGAGCATGGCTGTTAAGCTATGTCGCTTGTGTTTTCTTGATTTGAAAACCAGAGATACATTCTGTGGTTATTCGTGAATCTGGTTTGTGCATTATGAAACGATGCATGAAATATTATTTTATTTTTATTTTCAGTTTTGATAATGCGAGGCAAGGAAAGGCAGGGAAGGAGGATTTATTCACAGATTTGTGTTTTTAAGTTTTAAATATGTTCTATTGGTTGTACGGTAATTCTAATCTTAAAAAAGTTGATGATCTGATTGAATTATAAGTTTCAGAGACAAAAATATGAACATATCTACTTAGTGGAATAAATGGTTGAATCCTATTTCTTTAGATGGGATTAACGTTATTTGGCTAAGGTGAAATTATACTGTTTAAGCAAGAAAATTTGCACCATTTGGTTCAGGTAGTTATGTATATGGGTTTAATTTTGAAATGAGTGCATGTCTACCGTCTTGTTTATCAAGCTTGTTACTAGTGTATGTTTCAGGGTAGGTAAAGACTGTAGAATGATTATTATTGATTCAAGGTTGGTAATTGTCGGGTTTTATATACTATTAACATTTAACTATTTTTTATGTTTTTTTTTAACACCTAAGTATTTGAATTTAACCCTGTTAATATCCCCGTTTCATAATGTAATGTATCAGTAGACGAAATGAAGTGTCATTCACTCCTAAGTACTTCCAATACCGGCAAATCTTATTATTTTTTTCGCCGATTATCTGTGTCTTGATTTTATTCAGGGGCCTTCTGTAGTTCTGTCTAGACCGAATCATTTGGTTTCCCTTCTATCCAGCACGTTTGATATCTTTTACATTTTGTATTTTGAAAGATGATGCTGTGTAACTATTTTATACGAAACCAAACGAAGTTTGTGGCAGGTATACTGGTCAGCTGGTGGTCCTTCGGTTGGTTTGTTGGTCGGTCCGTTGCAGATGTTTTGTCCGGGACATTACTCGGAATATTAAAGAGATATCAGCTTCAAATTTTGTAGGTAGATAGATCTGAATGAGTGGCAGTGCGGTGCATAAGAACTGTAACCATTCCTTCCCTATTTTTGCAGTTATTGCCCTTTGTTCATTTTTACACTTTGAACTTTGCTCAGGACATAACTTAAGAACTATAAAAGGTATCAACGTAAAACTTTGTAGGTAGATAGATCTCACTAGGTAAAATTGCAGTGCATAAGAACAGTAACATTTAAAACGAAGGGTATTGAACTCTTAACGTGGGTATATCTAAAATGCTCAACGGAGATTCTTTGGCACAAAGGGCACAACGGACATATTTTTAACATAAAAGAAACACAACGTATACTTTTTTATGAAAATAATTAAGATAAAAGGAAGTTTTAACCATAAAAAAAAACAAAAACAAAAATAGATGTCTTGCTCCATGTGAAGAATTTCTTAGGAGAGTGCCTGTAAAGGTCACTTTTATTACATGCATAATTTACTGCACTTTCCACATTTATGTTATTTTTTGGTGGTCGGTAAGTAGTCGGTGTTAGAGAAAGCAAAGCCACATTTGTCACATCTAATTTCTATATATTTTTCTCTCTCTTTGTTCATGTCTTTTTCAATCATGCGAAGGAACGATCTTGGACGATTTTCCACAATGACATTCATATTTTGTGTTCAGAGGTAAGGGCCATCTTGCCGATTTCGTCCTCCGTGTTGTGTGAGAGAAGTTACACTGGAGAAGAATTCATCACAAAATCGGCATACATATTTTATTTATGAATTGTTAACTGGGTGTTATCATTTGTTTCTTAACAATAAGTAATGGGATTGTAGATTATATAAAGGTTCATCATTTCTGAAAAAAGGGCCCCTACTAACATCAAGGCTTTAGTTTAGAAAAGTGACCATAATTCGATTTCCGTACGGTAAAGTCTGTTAAAATGTTGCATGCAGGTGTCTTTTAAGGCATATATGTGACATATGTTGTCGATTTTTTTTCAAGTTCTTATAGCGCCCGTTAGGGTGGTCATGCTTTAAATAAGATATAGAATTGACTATTAAAAGTGAGTTATTTAAAATGCTGCATCATCATCATCATCATCATTATTATTATTATTATTATTATTCAAAAAACGTATACGCAGTATCTTGACATTTTGAAAATGTACGTAGTATATGATTATTTATTTTCTGGTAAAATTGGTTTTTTTTAAGAATTTTTGTATAAAGGATTAAGCAACAAAAGGTTTATCATATATTTTGAATGATTTTTAATGGATTACTTCACTTCCCATTTAATGCAATTTTCTCAGTTTTGTACATTCTGGCGGTGTCCAGTATCAGAAATCCAATTCATTCAGGGGGGGGGTGGGGGGGGGCCACCGCGAATCATTGAGTTAGGGGTTACTGTGTCAGATCTTGTGATAAACTAGATATATAGTTAATTTGAATTGTCGATTGGTATACTTGAAAATGCTACCATTTTTTTGGACCCCATAATTGTTCAGTGATATTTTGTGTTGTATGTATTGAATAAGATGGCACTTTATGTTAAGTGTATTGTTTGTTACTTCAGTATCCAACATTTCAAAGAAATTTGAATAACTATATTCATGTTTGTTATTCAGGGAAAGAAGAGTTGACAAATAAGGAAGGATGAAATGAAAGGCATAATGGTAGGATAGAGTGATAATCACTGATGGTAAGTTCTCTGAAAGCGAAGAAAGAAGGGGTGTTTAAGATAATCAATTAGATTCTCGATCAAAAGAGCATTTTCAGTCACAGAGTAGCGAAAACTGGGGCAATTGTACTTGATATAAGACGTGCCATTCAATATTCGTACAAAACCCTCAGGTGTTCAAACAAGGTGCTTGTTTTTTTATCATTTATACTAAGTAATGATCTCTAGATGTTTGATTGTTTGTTTGTTTGTTTGTTTGGGTTTTTAGTTACAGGCGAGACAGTATAGGTAATGTGGCGAGTTCCAGTTTCCTGTGGGGAAGACATATGGTGCATTTCGTGGCATTTTTTAGGCAGAAATGGCAAGAGTAGAACTACGGAGTTGCGTAAAGCTAGTCGTAGTTTCCGAAGAATAATCCTGTCTGGATTCAAACCACAGCGTTGAGGGATTTTAGATGTATTATGCATTTTATTTTGAAATTAATATCTTGAAATTTGATTTTGTCTTTTTTTTTTTGCTTGGTTGTATATGAAATATTCATCCATTAGGAATTTTATTGCAACAGTAAAGTTTAAAAAATGTAACTTAATAAGTGTATAATCTTAAAGGAGATAATGATTTGATAATGATAATTAGATTAAAGAAAAATGAAGAGATACTTTGGTATCGTAAGTTCGTTCTTCTGATGAATTATTTACATGTAATTGATTATTTTTTGACTAGTTATAGGTTATAATGTGGAGAGCATATGCATGGGTTATGTCTGGATATGCCATCAGTATAGACTTGAATGTATTAACAGCTAAATAATAATAATGCTCCCGTAAGAGGCTCATATTCATTGATAATTTATTTCATATGTTTAAAACTTTAGTATTGATAGCTCGTTTTACTCCATATCTTTAATCTATTTAATTAGATTTTTTTCTTTAACAGAAGCAACCGAGGCTCAGCAGACCAAATAAGGGAACGATAATGGAACAACATAAAAATTCAAATACTAGCAAAAGTAAAGAAGGCTCCAAATACTAAGGTAAAAACACAATAACTTTAGTTGTATTGCACTGGAAAAATGTGGCATAAATACATTATAAATTAGTAGTGTTTTTTATTATTTGAAAACATTTTTTAAGAGCAGCTCAAACTTTTTTTTTTATTTGAGCATATGATACATGTAAATCAATTTGTTATAATGTCTTAGCAACCATCGGGTAATAGGGAATGTGGTCTTTTGTCCTTTAATGTGCACGAATGAAGGGAAAACTTTGATAAATGTTGATATCATAAACATTGCTACCACTGGCCGGCCAGGGTGTGTAGTTTTTTTCCTGTATGCATGTAGATAATACAGAAAACTTACAAAATCTTCATAAAATACTCCTGTTAGTTCTATAATTTGATATTATTTCACAGAAATGTTCCATCTACAAAATAATTTCAATCACTTTGTCACAAAACATTCTTGTTACATGGCAATTATTCGATGGAGGTCACCTTTCTATAATAAAATCACCTTTGTTACATTTTGATATGATTAAAAAGATATGATCTGACACCGTTTGTATTGGTTTGGACTTTCCTGGGGTCAGTTCTGGTTAAAAATATAGAAAATGGTTTTCAAACAATACTAGAGTTAGAAAGAGATATTTAATAAAATTGAGCCAAGTTAATTGGAGACGCAGTTTGTATGCTTTATTGGACATGCTGACAAAAGTTATGTTACTCAAAATAGAAAAAAGATGGGGGGTTTCAGACAATAATAAAGTTAATGAGATACTGTCAATAACTAAAAATAGAAGCTTTTAAGTTATAAGGCTGGGATTGCTTTGTGGCCGCCCCCCTTGAAATCAAGGTACTGTTATTTAATATAGAAAAATGGTTCATAGACATAGTTAGGATCAGTTATTGTAATACCATTTTGTGTGTGCGCCTTTTTGGAACAACTGACTGGGGTTGTTGGATACGTGGGGTCAGGTCACTGTTTAAAATAAAATGGTTTTCTGGACAATAAATAGAGATGTAATAAACGTTGGTATTTTAGGCAAGCTTGTGTGGAGAATTGCTTGGGATTGATTTTGGACTCAATAGGTCAAAGTAATTGTACGGATTATACCACTTAAGTGATAGCTCTAGTTTCCTATTTGATTAAGTTAGCACATTGTATAAGGTGCAAACAAATGATATATGATTCATATAATTAAGATGATTTTTATAAAACATGAACAATTTTATTTCAGGACAGATCCTCTCAGATTCTTCAAGTACAGGATAATTCGCTTGGGATTTCAGAAAGAATTATTGCAAGACAAGAGCCCTCAGAGACAGCACCGGAGAATTGACTAATCTATAACTCTGCAAACCTTGAAAAACAGCGTTCATGAACCACTGCAAAACGAAACGTGTTGTGAAACAAATATAACAGAAAAGAACGTAATGAAACTGTCAGTTAATTTCAGTGACTTTGATAACCTTGTGGTGTCTGACTTTCCACCAGTTGAAATTAGGAATAAAGATAGCAATTTATTGTCAGTGGATACCAGTACCCCTTTATCAAAGAGAACCAGGCACAAAGCAGTTTCAGTGACTGAAAACGCAAGTGATGCTACAGAAAACAAAGTTGACAGATATGAGGAGGAGTATGAAGAGGAAAATGGAAGAGAAGATGATACAGAAGAAAGTGAGGAGGATAGTAAGACTGAAGGTAATTCAGATGATAGTGAAAATGAACAGGACGAAAGTAACAATTACTCAAGAGTTGGAGATTTAAGTGCCATACATGAGCATGTTTCAGATGTTGAATCAGGCTCTGAATCAGATAGTGGAAACTGTGACATTGTTGAATCTGAGAGTGATGAAGAGGAAAAGGAATGTGATAGAAGAATAACTAGACGAATGGACAAAAGTTCAAAATCAAATCTAGAAAGATTATCAATAAATCATATAAATCAAAGAAGGAATACCAGAATGACAAGAGTAATACAATGTCATGAAGATATTAATGACTTAGCAGAGCTTTTGGTAGAGTCACACATCGATTCTAGTGAAACTAATGCAATTTTGTATCTTCAAAATGATGAATTAGTTACTGATGATAATCAGGAAGAGATAGAATATGTGTCACGGTCAGAATATCACACTGCTCATTCATCAAGATATAGTGATTATCATTCTGCAGAATATGATGATGCAGACGTTGATGATGGTAATAATGGTAGTGGCGATGTAGGTGATAAAGATAATGATGAAGAGGTAATTTATTCATATCCTTGGCTCATGATTTTATAAATGAAGAATTTATTCCTCCCTATAAAGCTGTAAAATAGCCTTCCGTATCATAGGCTGCTGCTGCTGCCAGTGCTGCTGCTGCTGATGATGATGACGAAGATGATGGTGGTGGCAGCTATGTGACTGATGATCTATAACAATGCATAAAAAGACTTTTCTCTTATAAAAGCTATCATTAACAATGAAAATTGTTGGTTAAACTGTCCTCTCTAGTTTCACATTAATTCAAGCATGCCATGTTGGTATAAGTTATTAATTACTTTTACATGATTAAAACTAAAAGTAAAGGCCATATAAAAAGACAATTACAATTTGTTTAAATTCTGATATTTATTGAATTGTGTAACACGATACAGGTTAAAATGGCAGCAGGCTTACAAGACATGTTTTAACTTTGACAGTTTCTTTTATTTCAGGTGGTAAAAGACCCTTCTACCCCAATAAATAACTACAGATTGTGTGTTAAATTCCAAGAACTGCAAAATTCGTTCTCGGTATGAGTATTTGAAATATGATGTAAAGCTTTTGGAAACTTGATTTATTAGGATTTCAAAACAGTGTTTTGAACAATTGCAATTGATTTTAACTTCAAAGTTCCATTTTAAAGTCATGAAAAAAGAATGAAGAGTATTTTTTCTTGAGCTCTCACACTAAAATTTGAAGATCTGTAATGCAAGCTTTGGAGTAAGTTTTGTAAGTCATTTGTAAGTTTTGAATGAATTTTTGTATTGTGTGTCTAGGAGTTGGGCGGCAATAATTTTTGTATCAAGTTTTTGTAGTGAGGAGACTTTAACCTTTACTGACTTTGATGGTACAATGTATTTATGTTATCATTTTAGGAACTTTTGACTCCCAAGAAGAGAAAGAGCAGTAAGGTATCACTGTCAGCTCGAGCTAAAATTCTCATTCTCTGTGACCAGACAGAACCAATAACCTTTACAACAGCTCTTACTAAGAAGTAAGTTTTTTATCCGTTTGTGTAAACTACCAGTGACTATGTATTTCCCAAGGTAGCATTTGGATAGCCAGTTAGTCAATTTGTATAAAAGTGCAAAGTTATATCTATGATCTTAACTTGGTTGTAAATTTCATAAGAAATTGTCAAAAGGAGCTGTTGAAGTGACATAATGATATCGACTGCTTTCAGAATGATCTCAAAGTGTAGGAAGATAGGAGAAGGGGTTTACGGTGAGGTTTTTAGAGCTATCAACAGTAATGGAGATTCTATTGCCTTCAAGGTTTGAGATATTTTTTTACATTTCTAATGATATTCTGTTAAAGAATAGTTTCTGTAGAAAGAACAGACATAAGTTTAATAACGTTTAAATAATGGTTTTAGAGCATTTAAGTTGCTTATTACATGGAGAAGGTAGTGCTGAAAATGACTTAATTTCTCATGAAAGTAGCAATGTATAATCCATGAAGTAGGAACATGTATTAACATAAAGTAATATTTCACTTCAGTACAACTAATTATTATAAATTGGTACTTTGAGAAGCGTGATGCAAAGGAATGTTAGATTACTGGCCAATGAGTATTTTTTGATTTAAATAAAAAAACAAAACTTAAGGCATTTGAGAAATAAAAATAAACCATTTCTGAGGCATATTAGGGCTGTTAAGGGACTGAGGCCAGGGGCATTCAGGTAGGGATTTTTGCATTGTTTCGGAGAAAAAGGGGAGGTTTGCTCTTCAACAAAAACTACTCAATATGTTAAATCTATTTTGTTTTGCTAAAAGCAAATTTTAATTAGATATTATGAAAGGTCTTGTGCTTGAGACAGATAATTTAAAAAATAAATGGGAATATAAAATCAATATATAATTATTATATATTGATTGGGAAGAGGAATGGGTAAAGTTTCGACTCGAGTATCATGACATTAGGGCCCGGAGAATTTTACATCAGTATCATGGAATGCACTGATATTCTGTGAAAGTCAAAAATATGAATATAATCTGAAAAATGCTCATATTTTTTGCTAGGAATTATCTTATCAGCAATTATTCTTGCTCTAAAAGGTGATGTCGGATTTTGGGTCATATGCATGAATATGTTTTGCCCCCAGTTTCAAAATGAATAATCCCAATGCAAGGGGAAACAAGAGTTATCCTTATTGTATGACATGTAAACATTTTAGTTTGGCGTTCAAAATTGTAAAACGTAAAATAAAATAATTGAGTCACTGATAACCATTTACACTGATGCCATGATGTTCTGGCTCTAGAATGCTGGCAAAGGCTAGTCGTTTTCAAGTCTTTCTAGTCTTTTGGTAGTAATGTTTAACTTATTTAATTAAATGATAACTCAGCATTTGTACACTCCAAGTAAGGTAAATAATCAGATATTTTATACACATTTATTTTTCTCTGCTTAAATGAAAGGGAAAGAATCTTAATCTTATTGTGTTCATTTGAAAGGAATTGCATCCTTTAAATGAGCTTATTTTAGTTAACTTTATTATTTAACTTAACTTAAAACAAGAGCCGGTTGAACCGGGTGATGCTCCCCGACTAGGATTTGGACACAGAAAAGTATATCTTTTGTAGTTTCAGGGTTATGTCCCAGACAAAGTTCAAAGTGTGATAATTCCAAAATAGTTGTAAAATCCGACTTCAAATAACGACGTTATGGGCCGGACACAATTTTGCTTCAAGGTCATGCTGTGACCTTGACCTTCAAGGTAGCGACCCAAATGTTGCGCGCGACACATCGTCTCAATATGGTGATCATTTCTGTGAAATAGTTGTAAAATCCGACTTCAAATAACAAAGCTATGGACCGGAAACGATTTTTCTTCAAGGTCATGCTGTGACATTGACCTTCAAGGTAGTGACCCAAATGTTGTGTGCGACACGTCGTCTCAATATGGTGAACATTTCTGTAAAATAGTTGTAAAATCCAACTTTAAATAACAAAGTTATGGGCCGGACACGATTTTTGTTCAAGGTCATGCTGTGACCTTGACCTTCAAGGTAGCAACCCAAATGTTGCGCGCGACACATCGTCTCAATATGGTGATCTTTTTTTGTGAAATAGTTGTAAAATCCAACTTTAAATAACCTAGTTATGGGCCAGACACGATTTTTGTTCAAGGTCATGGTGTGACCTTGACCTTCAAGGTAGCGACCCAAATGTTGCGCGCGACACGTCGCCTCAATATGGTGATTGTTTCTGTGAAATAGTTTTAAAATTCGACTTCAAATAACAAAGTTATGTGCCGGACACAAATTCGGGACGTACGTACGTACGGATGGACGGACGGACTGACGGACGGACGGACGGACAACCCGACGACTTTATGCTCCCCCGAAATTTTTCGGGAACAATAAAAATAGTTAAACATCTAGGCAAGGTGAAAATTAAAGATTAAATGTATAAAAATTGAATTGAATTTTTTTTTCAGATCATCCCTATAGAAGGTGATTTTGAAGTGAATGATGAAAAACAGAAAAAGTTTGCAGAAATTCTACCTGAAGTTGTTATAGCTAAGTAGGTGTAATCTAAAAGTGATTTATACTCTTTTTATAGCAATTCACCTGAGTGTAGTAACCTTAAAAAATCTTTTCCATAAAAACCACAAGTCCGATTTCAACCGCTCTTGCCAGGATTGTCCATTGGGTGAAGATCTTTCAAAGTTATTCGAAGAATTTGAAGAAATATGGTTACTTTGGAGGACAGGATGAAAAAATAAGTAAATAAACTGTATTTAAATGAAAGTAAATTTATCTCAAAAACCATATGTTCATAATTATTATATAATGCAATTACAAACCATTGTTTTCCTCTAACGTTCTTTTTATATTACGTTCTTTTTATATTACCTCTCATCAACTTCAAAATTTATACTATAAATGTAATGTGAAAATCTTATGTCTCCTTTTATTTAATGTTTAATGATTTACTGTATGATGTGTATTTGCATGGTTATGTATGATTGTATGATTTCGATTTATTAATAAATGGGGTTCCACATTTTGTGGACCTGAAGCTGAAAAAAAAATACAAGATAATATAAGATATAATGATAAAAAATACATTAATTTTATTTCTTTGTTTACAGGGAATTAAGCAACTTACGTAACGGTAAGACCTCCATGACATCAAACTTCTGTGAAGTTAACAATTTATCATGTGTTAAAGGAAGATATCCAGCCGAGTTACTGAAACAGTGGGACATATTTAATAAAAATAAAGGCTCCGAAAATGACAGACCTGGTTAGTGGTATTACTTTCAACATTATTTATGAGATGGGTTCAAATTCTACAAAGGGCTTCCACACAAAACTGGTCTAAAACATCTACATATACGTTTATATTTATTAAATATGTATAGAAGTAAAATTTGAAACTGTGACCTGATATAAAAAAAACTATATTAATGCCCAGTTGCATGAAACAGCTTGGTGCAGGTAGAACTTACTATATAAAAGGCTTTCCTTATTATTCGTTATTTATGTATTTTATCTACGGCAAATTTCATATTCTGCCAAAATACTTTTGATTTGACACTTATATGCACATAAAACGATTTATTAAAAAAAATATATATTTCACTGTTAGAAAAGCTGAAGGCCACATTAAATAGCTATATTTTGATTATTTTATGTGCTTAAGTTTCTCAGACAAAGTTTTACTGTGTTACATTTCAGACGTATTTCCAGAAAAGCAACTTTACATTATGTTGGAGTTTGATGATTGTGGAACTGATTTAGAATCTTATAAGGTAAATTTTGGTCACCTTCTCATCTGTGTGTTTGCGTGGTAAATGTTTTGTGTGCAGCTTCACATCTCATCAACCACCAAGAAATTTTCTTGGATTTTAAAACTTTCCGAGGTATATTACTCTTGCATGGATTTTTGTGTGAATTATAGCCCTTTGTGGTGTCCCTTTCAGTAAAAATATGTAGATTCGTTGATGTTCTATCATCTAACTCTAGTTTGACAGTGATGCTGAATCAGAGACAATAGCTATAAAAACTGATAAAGATACATATGCAATGCTGTTATTTATTGAAATTTTGAAACTTTAATTTATGCATATGACAAAATTTATTTTTCAATTTGATTCACATAAGTTAATTTATCATTAATTATTTAGTTCACAACAATCCATCAAGCCAAAAGTGTTCTGACACAAGTAGGCTATGCACTGGCAGTGGCAGAGGAGGCGCTCCAGTTCGAGCACCGGGATCTTCACTGGGGTAACGTACTTGTTCGCCCCACAGACAAGGAAGATATTACCTTCAGATTGAAGGGTAGACCAGTCGTAGTGTCGTCACATGGGGTGGAAGCCTGTGTAATAGACTTTTCTATGTCACGACTGACCAAAGGTAATAGATTTATAAAATAGAAGTTTATAGATGTTCAATATTGGCTGCTTGAATGAGGGAGGAGGGAGTAATTGATTATCATTATGTACAAATAGGATACCGTTTTAGATGTAAATTTGAACTTTAGTATCAGCTTACCTAGATTTTAATAAAATGACCCCCGTTTTTATACATCTATGACATTTTAACCATGTGCACAATTTCTGGGGTAGAACTGAAATCTGATATCAAATGACCTTAATATTGATCTAGTGACCTACTTTCTTGTTTTTTTATGTTCAGCTATGAAATTATGACCATGTATATAGTATTATTAAAAAAGGGCATAACGTATGGTCTAGTGTCGAACATCGTCCAATTTCTTGTAATAAACACTTAAGCTTAAGTTACTGCTTTTACATAAATAACATAAATCACAGTATGTCTTCAGGTGAGCGACATTTTCTTATATTGTTTTGACTGGCTGTTGCACCAGCACAGTATATGTCATATGGCGACTTTTCAGCTTTACTGGCGTAGGAAGGCCTCAGGTGCCCCTATGTGAATTATTTCAGGCACAAGCAGGCACCTTCCTTTGTTTTTAATGCAAATATGAATATGCATTTATACTGTATTTACCTATGTGTGAATTTAAAACGTAACATGCCATCTCAAAAGAGGTTTATTTTACATTTAATAATAGGATTGTGTAGTGATTATCATTACTGTTAAATATCAAATCTGAGCCTAATCTATCAAGCCCCTCCTCACAAAAGAAAGAAAAATAAATGTAATTTTCCAAAATAAGCAGCTAAATAAGTCCATGTAAGAAAAAAATGTATTCTAAGATAAGGGATCAATAGTGTAATGGGGAGATGTTTGAATATTTCAGATGGATGTACAGTTTATACAACAATACCAGATGATGACACGCTATTTGACGGAAAGGGTGATTATCAATTTGATGTTTACAGAGAGATGAAGAAAGAAAATAAGTACGTACCGATGAAGTTTTTATTTCTTTTATTTTATTCAAAGTAAAGAATATTACTAGACTATTAATGGTTTGTCTATAACAAGCACCTTGCCGTTTGATTGGTTTGGTTTATTTCAAGACTTCGAGTGTTCAATATCATCGTTTTCGCTTCTTTACTCTTCACTTGTGAAGCGACATTTAGGATATGAATTTAATGAGATAGTCGAGTGCTAGTAATTATAACAAAGAGCCACCGCTGGGCAACGCTGGATTTATTTTCCAAAATCAAACAAAAAGATTTAATGAATATATAAGAAAATTATAGAAAAAAACTAAAAACGCTAAAGTATGTCACTAGGTCAAAATCCAGATCAGCCGATATCAAAGTTCAATTTTATATCTTAAACTGCGCATATGGTTCAAAATTCAAAGCTGTTATTCCAAAAAAAAAAAAAAAAATAACAACAATAAAGTAGGTCACTAGGTCAAAATCTAGATCAGCTGATTTGAAGGTTCAGTTTTAAAATTGTGCATGTGGTCCAAATTTCTTAGCTTTATATCAAAGAACAAAAATAGGTCACTAGGTCAAAATCTAAGTCAGCTCATATCAAAATTCAATTTTACATATAAAATATGCACATGGTTTGAATTTCATAGCTGTTCATCAAAGCACAAGAAAGAAGAATCTATCAGCTGATATCGAAGTTCAATTTTACATCTTAAACTGTGCATATGGTCAAGATTTCATAGTTTAAGGATAAAATAAGAGAATTTCGTTGATTTGGCCTTGACGGTTTGCTTTGTAAAAGGTCTTGTTTTGTCCATCAAATCCGTACATAAATAACAAAATTATGAAAATTCAATAATTTTACCTTAAATAAGAGAATTTCGTTGATTTGGCCTTGACGGTTTGCTTTGTAGAAGGTCTTGTTTTGTCCATCAAATACATAAATAACAAAATTATGACAATTCAATAATTTTACCTTATTGAATTTTGGCTTTAAAATTGCCATATTTTTATCATTTTTATACGGATTTGATTTATACTTAGCCAAAACAAGACTTGCTACCAAACAAACATATTGAATAATTTAGATGTGACCTTCACCTTAACCGTAGGGTTCTAACTAGTTGGGGACTTTTGAATTGGTTGCAATACTTTGATCATTGCTTGTATTTTTCCTTGAACATGACATTTCTTTTAGGTAAGATTCAAACAAAGGCATTATTATGTATACTGAAACAAAAAAGAAACTTTCTCCAAGTTTGAATGTAGATATGCTAGTACATTTTTTCAATCCTTTTGAAACACGATTTTTACGTTGAATAAACATATCGGGCTTTTATACGGGGATTAGCTGACCGATTTTGCAATACAAGCTACATGTATATAAGTGTGTACATCTAAGTGGTACCCGTGAACAACTGGCACATACTTTGCGAGAGTTTTTTTTTTTTTGGTTCAGTATAGTTTAAATCTTACATAAAAATAAAACGAGCCAACACTTGTTATTACTTTGTTTTATAGAGGTAACTGGGAGAAGTTAAATCCACATTCTAACGTCTTATGGCTACATTATCTGGCTGATAAACTTGTGTATCATACGAAATACCCAAGTCATTCTAGTAGACAGGAACGTGATGTGTTACGAGAATTCCGGCAGTTTATGTCAACTATGATAGACTACAGCAGTTCACTTGAAATGACTGCAGACAGTTTGTTTATGAACTCTTGAGACTGTGGCATAAATCAGTGTGAGAAAAGAGCATGTTGTCAAAATGTGCCATATGAAGATAGGGACAATAAGCGAAAAGTGTTACTTTATTTTACATGGTCTATGAAAGAAAGTGAGTCCACTTCGTGATAAAGACGAGTGTTTTTTTAGGATTTTATTCAATTGTGCTTCAATTAAATGACAAAAACTAAAACTTTAAAGAATTGCATCTGCGCATTTATGCAACAGGCTTAAGAATGTAAATATAAAACATTAATACATTACAAGGGCTGAATTGATTATGATAAATCAACACTTATCCAATTAGAGTAAAATTAAAACAGTGATAATCGTTTACCATAGTCCGCATTTAAATAAGTGCAGTTTGAGACCAAGCTATATTGCTTTTTAGAATAAGATTTCTTATTTTGAAACCCCTCAAAATTAGCAATGGTTATTCCGAAACATGACAAGTTCATTAATGAAAAAGTACTATTCATGTGTGTCTAATTTTAATGTTAACATAAGTTGATAGCATTTATATTTAATTTAGAGAAGCAATTGCTTTCTACTTGTATGTATGTATTCAAGATAACAATTTTTTGTGTGATTTTTTTTTCATTTTAATTTTGTAACAGATGTTTGTTTTATGTATTCTTCTTTTCACTTACAATGTATTATGTAAAAATCTTGATACAATGGTAATTAGTGACATTATGGTAATTTATTCACTGTCGAGTTGTGATAATATAGTCGCCTATTTCAAAAGATTATCTATTGTAATGTTGAAAGAAAATAATTGTTTAGGATAAGATTTCCTTAATTTTTTTATAAATTGAACATAACCGATAATATCAGAAGAAGAATAATTTATTATTATAGATTTTTTATAGATGTTTAAGTAGGTCACGGGGGTTATAGACTATTCAAGAATCGTTTATTATGAAATCGAAAAACAAATATGAGAAGTTACTTTGAATTTTACCAGAATATCCACCACTAACTCTTGGACAGGCATAATGTTACTAAATCCTACATTAATATCTAGCAATTGTCTAGAAGACATACAAGTGTATTTAAGCATGTTAATCTGTCGAATTAATACATCTTTTTTCACACTGGATCAAATCATGGCCTTGAGGTCAGGTTGGTGCCCTTTTGTTTTAAAAGTTGTTCTTTAATTACAATTAAAATGGTTAAGTTTTGAATGATAACACAAACATTTGACTTTATAATTATGATGAAATATTTCAGCCCGATTTTTGTTGATGTATCGAAGTGTTAGATTATGCCAGAAGTGTAAACATGTGTCAAAGTGTTCATTGTTTCTGAACCACATTTTAGAAAACATCATGATTGTTACAGTTAAATTATATATTTATATATATGTTTGTATAAAGCAGTTATAAAATTGTTATGAGATATAAATGTGTAAAATGAAGTTAATGTTTGTCTTATTTTCATTTTCCTATTTTCATTTTTCCTTGTATGATAGAGCACAGTATATGGCAGTGGTTAATGTCTTTGACCACAATCAACTTGCCCCTCATGGCTTTGAATTCCCTTATATCTCATATAATTTTAGAGTTATGTTCGGGCAATGTTTAAAGTGTAAAATTGAACAAAGGGCAATAACTCCAAAATTAGACAAGGCAGAGTTCAAGTTCTTGTGTGCTATACATCTACTCAAAAAAATCTATCTACCTACAAAGTTTCATATTAATATCTCTTACAATTTTAGAGTTATGTCCCAAACAATATTTTTCTAAAAGTGGAGATAATTTAAGTTATGGTTAAGCACTGCACTTCTACCCAATGAGATCAATCTACATAAAAAGTTTCATGTTGATACCTCTTGTTGTTTCAGTTATGTCCCTGACAAGAAAAGCAGACAGACAGATGGACAGACAAAGAGACGATTATATGCCCACACTCCGGGGAGCATAAAAATCCCCAAAGCTGTAAATATACTAGTATAACAAACTGCATAATTATAAATAACAGTTTAATCAATATAATATGGTATCAGTGTTTGGGCTTGGATATATTTTCGCTCTACTCCAACCTTCATATATAATGCCAACAACTTGGAGTAAAATGTTATAGCTGCAACAAAGTGTATCACTGACAATTTATACCAGTCACAAATTAGTACAAAATAGTTAATATATCGTATTTAATAACACACAAACAGTGGAAAATTAATGCAAAATAATGTATTGTATCAAAGTTATTCTGAAAATTTATACAATAATGCAATTATTATATGATTTAACAAAATGACCATGATGGTCCTGGATCTCTCACCTGAGATTTATGCTAGAGGAGGGTAAAGCCAGTAATTCAGTCACATTTGGGTTTCTCATTTTTTAGCTCGACTTTTCTATGAAAAGGGGAGCTATCCTACTCGCCCCGGCGTCGGCGTTGGCGTCACACCTTGGTTAAGTTTTTCGTACCACCCCACTTTATTTCAGAAGTATTACAAGTATGGCTTTGAAACTTACCATACTTGTTCACCATCATAACCTCCATCTACAGACAAGAGTACATAACTCTGTCAAGGTTTTTGACAGAATTATGGCCCTTTTTTGACTTAGAAAGTGTATTGAGCTTGGTTAAGTTTTTTGTACCACCTCACTTTATTTCAAAACCATTGGAGGTATTGCTTTGAAACTGACCATACTTGTTTACCATCACGACCTTCATCAACAGACAAGAGGACATAACTCTGTCAAGGTTTTGACAGAATTATGCCCCTTTTTGACTTAGAAAATACATTGAATATGGGTAAAATCCACTTATTGCCTTAACCCTTTGAGATATTTGCTTTGAAACTTTTAATGCTATTTCACATCATTACCCCATCTGTACGCAAGAGAAGGTAACTCTGTCAAGGATTTGTTTTAAAAATTAAGGCCTTTTATCGACTTAGAATCTTGGTTAAGTTTTAGTACCAGTCCACTTTTTGACTGAACTGTTTGAGATATTAATTTGAAAGTTGGAATACTTGTTTACAATCATGATTCCCAAACATGTCCAGGAGAAGGTAATTCTGTCAAAGATTTTATTTGAATTATGGCCCTTAACTGTCAATGTTTTGTATTATAGGCAAGCACTAAAAAACTTAAAAAATCTAAAAAAATTCATTCCTATCCACTTCTTCACTTTACCATAAATTATGTCATATAAACATTGCTGTAATATTCAAGGGTATCAAACAACTAGTTCACTTTAAAAATACAGAGATTCTTGTATTGCCTTTTACTGCAAAAACTTTTTTTATTGGCAAGCAATAAAAAAGTCGAGCGCGCTGTCTTACGGACAGCTCTTGTTTTCTCTTGGCTGCACAATTTTTTTAATATTTGTAGATGTGTCTACTACAAAATTCTTCATGACAAATATATTTCTAAGCTCTTGGCATGGTAATTTCACACAAAAAGAATTAATTTATTGTATAACTTCATGTACGTAAGTCTATATAAACAAACTTTACTATGTACATCTATATAAAGCGAGTAATCCTCAGGATGGGCCAGTATTGACCCAAGGGGCATGATTTATAAAACTTTTGCAGAGGACCACAAGGTGGTGCTTCATGCAAAATACCTAAGCTCTTGGCATTGTAATTTTAGAGAAGAAGAATTTTTGTAGATATCAACTACGTAATGTTACATGCCAAATATCTAAGTTTCGGCTTGTAGTTTCACAAATGAAGACTTAAATTTATTTTCCATCAAATCCACCTAGTTGTTTAGGAGGAGATGTTGTTTTGAGAAACTGTGGACAGCAACAAATGATGGACAACAAATAACAGATACACTGCTACTAAAAATAGCTGCAATCTCATTGGTCTTCCCATTAAATAACTGTATACTAATTCATACAACATTGCAAAAATGATAACAAATTATACACTCTATCAGTTAACATTAATGATTCATACAATTTTCCAAACATTAAAGGAGCTCCACTGAGGTTAAGAAGCCTAAAGCCATAAAATTTGAAATTTTCAGATTACCAAGTGAAGCCTTTAAAATGGAAAACTTTGCAGAGGATTATCAAGAAATATACTCAAGAATTTAATTCAAAATCTATAAATATTGCGATTCTGTGCGCAATTTGAGTGAAAAACATTGCAATGCTTTTCATGTTTTGGCCATTTTATGCAATAAAACTTATTTCTCTGGAAAAACAAGTTGAGGGCTGAAAGTTTGAAAACATGTTATTAGTTCAGATCTACATCAAATGGCATACAAATCTTGGAAAAATATATCCAGTCTTGTCATGTCAAAAAACAAACAAGAGGGCCATGATGGCCCTGAGGTCGCTCACCTGTATATAGGCGCACCCAACCCCCACCCCCCAACGTTGCAGGGCCAATTTAACCTAAGGGCTTTTATTTGCACAAACTTGGTAGACACCCATAAGCTCTAGCTCATTGGGCTTTTTAAAAGAAGATTTTTTTTTAAGTTTTTACTATACACACATAGTTAAAAACAATGACACCCCTGGGGCCGGGCCAGTTTTGACCCCAGGGCTTTTATTTGAACAAACTTACTAGAAGATGTTCATGCTTAATATCTAAACTCTAGCTATTTGGGTTTTTTCAAAGAAGATTTTAAGTTTTTGCTATACACATATAAAGAAAATCAATGACCCCCGGGGCTGGGCCAATTTTGACCCCAGGTCTTTTATTTGAACAAACTTTGTAGACACTCACTAAAAGATGTTTCATGCTTAATATCTTAACTCTAGCTATTTGGGTTTTTTCATAGAAGATTTTTTAAGGTTTTGCTATACACATATAAGGAAAATCAATGACCCCCGGGGCGGTGCCAATTTTGACCCCAGGGGCTTTTATTTGAACAAACTTGGTAGACACCTATTAGAACATGTTTGATGCTAAATATCTTAGCCATAGCTCTTTGAGTTCTTTAAAAGAAGATTTTTTAAGTTTTTACTATATGCATAAAGGGAAAATCAATGACCCCCCGGGGCGGGGCCAATTTTGACCCCAGGGCTTTTATTTGAACAAACTTGGTAGACACTTATTAGAACATGTTTCATGCTAAATATCTTAGCTCTAACTCTTTTGGGTCTTTAAAAGAAGATTTTTTAAGTTTTTACTATATGCATATAGGGAAAATCAATGACCCCCTGGGGCGGGGCCAATTTTGACCCCAGGGCTTTTATTTGAACAAACTTGGTAGACACCTATTAGAACATGTTTGATGCTAAATATCTTAGCCATAGCTCTTTGAGTTCTTTAAAAGAAGATTTTTTAAGTTTTTACTATATGCATAAAGGGAAAATCAATGACCCCCCGGGGCGGGGCCAATTTTGACCCCAGGGCTTTTATTTGAACAAACTTGGTAGACACTTATTAGAACATGTTTCATGCTAAATATCTTAGCTCTTACTCTTTTGGTTCTTTAAAAGAAGATTTTTTAAGTTTTTACTATATGCATATAGGGAAAATCAATGACCCCCGGGGCGGGGCCAATTTTGACCCCAGGGCTTTTATTTGAACAAACTTGGTAGACACCTATTAGAACATGTTTGATGCTCAATATCTTAGCCATAGCTCTTTGAGTTCTTTAAAAGAAGATTTTTTAAGTTTTTACTATATGCATATAGGGAAAATCAATGACCCCCCGGGGGGGCCAATTTTGACCCCAGGGCTTTTTTTTAACAAACTTGGTAGACACCCATTAGAACATGTTTCATGCTAAATATCTTAGCTCTAGCTCTTTGGGTTCTTTAAAAGAAGATTTTTTAAGTTTTTACTATATGCATATAGGGAAAATCAATGACCCCCGGGGCGGGGCCAATTTTGATCCCAGGGCTTTTATTTGAACAAACTTGGTAGACACTCACTAGAAGATGTTTCATGCCAAATATCTAAGCTCTAGCTCTTATGATTTTTTAAAAGAAGATATTTAAAGTTTTTTCTTTCGGTTGCCATGGCAACCAGAGTTCTGCATGGAATTAAATTCTTTGAACAATTTTTAAAGGTGACCACCAAACGTGAAGGAACATTCCTGTGAAGTTTGGATGAAATTGGCTTAGTGGTTTATGAGGAGATGTCATTTAAAGTAAAAGTTTACGGACGGACGCCGGACGGACGCCGGACGAAAAGCGATCACAAAAGCTCACCCTGTCACTTTGTGACAGGTGAGCTAAAAACAGTGGAGCTAAAAACAGTGGAGTTCCTTTAATGCAGAAATGCATTATATCACAGTAAGTGGCTATTAACTTTTACCAGTATACATAGTAAAAAAATAATACAGAATATGTATTTTATCACAGTTTTCAGTAATTATTCATAAAAATGGTTGAAAAATTTAATATAATAGACATTTATGGCATAAATCATTTATGATTGATATACATAACTATAAATCCATTTAGAACTCACTTTGTAACAGTGAGAATTCATACAAATAATCCAAAATTGACACAGTGTAACACAATTATGTAAACTTGAGTTTGACAGTAAAGGTAACTTAAATGTCAATGTCATACTTGAATCGTCCAAAAAAGAAAAGGCACAAGAAAATTCATATCATATATCACAGACTGTATCAAATTATCACAGACAAAGTAATTTATATAAATAACAATCTATCATAATCATTTAACCAGTCTAAAATGAGCGTCCATCACAAGGACATGTCTGTCTTGTCAAACAAGTTGAATCATCACAGGATTCCATCAAATATCCCCATGAAGCTATCCTGCTCTGGTTTACTGCAATTACAAAATTAAAATAATGTGAATAAAAACAAAACAAGAGGGCCATGATGGCCCTAGATCGCTCACCTGAATTATCAAACTCATCCAAACAATTACCTAGACAAGCATTCTGACCAAGTCTCATGACAGGTGAGTCAAAAATGTGACCACTACAGTGTTAACAAGGATTATCCATATTTGAGCAGTGCGACCTAGTTTTTTACCCAGGTGACACATATTCAAACTTGACCTAGAAATCATCAACAAACAAACTTTCAGACCAATTTCCAGGATACTTGGATCAAAACAGTAGCAACTAGAGTGTTAACAAGATTTTTCTATTTTTAGCTCCGGTGACCTAGTTTCACATGCGATTTCGAACCTAGACAAGCATTCTGACCAAGTTTGATGATAATGGAGTCGAAAATGTGACCACTAGAATGTTAACAAGGTTTTTCCATATTTGGGCGGTGTGACCTAGTTTTTCATCCAAGATGACCCATGTTCGATCTTGACTTAGAAATCATCAAAACAAACTTTCAGACCAATTAACAGAATATTTGGATCACAACAGTAGCCACTAGAGTGTTAACAAGATTTTTCTATTTTTAGCTCCTGTGACCTAGTTTTTCATCCGAGATGTCCCATGTTCGATTTATTCCCAGCAATGACCTAGACAAGTTTCCTGACCAAGTTTGATGACAATTGAGTCAAAATTGTGACCACTAGAGTGTTAACAAGGTTTTTCTATTTTTAGCTCCTGTGACCTAGTTTTTCATCCGAGATGACCCATGTTCGAACTCATCCGAGTTATTACCTAGACAAGCATCTTGATCTAGTTTGATGATGATTGATTCAAAAATGTGACCGCTAGAGTGTTAACAAGGTTTTTCTATTTTTAGCTCCGGTGACCTACTTTTTCATCCGAGATGACCCATGTTCGAACTCATCCAAGCTATCAACTAGATAAGCATCCTGACCAAGTTTGATGATGATTGATGCAAAAATGTGACCGCTAGAGTGTTAACAAGGTTTTTCTATTTATAGCTCCGGTGACCTAGTTTTTCATCCGAGATGACCCATATTCGAACTCATCCGAGCTATTATCTAAACAAGCATCCTGACAAAGTTTGATGATGATTGGGTCAAAAATGTGACCACTAGAGTGGTCACAAGGTTTTTCTATTTTTAGCTCCTGTGACCTAGTTTTTCATCAGAGATGACCCATGTTCGAACTCATCCAAGCAATTGACTAGACAAGCATTCTGACCAAGTTTGATGATGATTGGTTCAAAAATGTGACCACTAGAGTGTTCACAAGGTTTTTCTATTTATAGCTCCTGTGACCTACTTTTTCATCCGAGATGACCCATGTTCGAACTCATCCGAGCTATCACCTAGACAAACATCCTGACCAAGTTTGATGAAGATTGGGTCAAAAATGTGACCTCTAGAGTGTTCACAAGGTTTTTCTATTTTTAGCTCTTGTGACCTTGTTTTTCATCTGAGATGACCCATGTTCGAACTCATCCGAGCTTTCAACTAGATAAGCATCCTGACCAAGTTTGATGATGATTGAGGCAAAAATGCGACCGCTAGAGTGTTCACAAGCAATTGTGGACGGCCGGACGGACGACGGACATTCATCGATCCTAAAAGCTCACCCTGAGCAAGCTCAGGTGAGCTAACAAAAGGTAAGAAAATGAGTTTATAGTACTTTTAATTATCTCAAAATATCTACAAAATTCAAACATTTAGAAATAACAGTAGAATTCAAATCAGGTAAGACATGTTTGCCTTAAGTTCAAAAACCATTCAGAAAAACAGGTTGACAGACAGTAATATCCAGTTGTTTTTCTTTCTTTCTCACTATGGTGATGAACAAGTATACCACATGTACCAGTGACCTTGATATTTCAACCTAAAATTTGGTGTGCCAGCTAGATAAAACTCTTCAAGTTGCATTGATGTATAATTTTTTTCATTGTAACAACATTGTTAGCATTGTAGTTAATTACCATTAAGGAAACTTAACTGAAATGGTTAACCAATGCCACCACTGAGTGGGTCATGACAGAAGCTTCACTTTCTTCTTCAAAAGGTAGAGCTTATACTGTTATATACATGTAAAAAGGATTATCAAAAGATTTATATTTCTAGATTTTTTTCTAAAAGGAGTAATTCATTTTACTCATATGACTAGTCAAAATGACTTACTTTACTCCATTAAATGTGATTAATGATAGTATAAAAAATAATTTAAAAAACATATACCTTGTTAAAGTACTAGCTCTGGTAGTACTGCTCTTACTTTGAAGTTTATCTTTTTGTGCACGCTCAGAACTGGAAACCCAGGCTAAAACCTGTAAAATAGACACCTGGTATTTGTTGTAATAGCTCCTACAGGATTTTCGATGACTTGTTATAAAATCATTGTATCACATAATGTACTTGTAAGTAATTGCATTTAATAATGAGAAACATAACTATGAGAAATTGGACATCCTTGCTAGAGCATGTGACACAGATACCTCACTTGTCACCCCCGGCTGATTTCTTGCAGTGTTTAGATCATAGATGCAGCTCTGATACGATTTTTCAATGATCAATTATTATATATATATAGTCACTTTACCACAAAATGTAGATGTATTGATATAATGGATAACATAATCGGACACCTTTGTCAAAAAAAATACTGCACTTGAAACCCATGATGATTTCTTGTGGTATTAGAAAATGTTCCACAATCCTTTTTATAGTCATTTACCATATAATATACATGTAATGCATAAAATGTTCCATGATTCTTTTTATAGTCATTTTAACATATAATATACATGTTATGGAAAAATGCACAACATATAACATGATAATTGGACACCCCTGCCAGAACTATATAACCTTTCATAATTTCTGTATTAGCTCCCATTAGATTTTCCATTATCCTTTATATAGTCATTTTACCAAAAAATGTACAAGTATTGAAATAATAATATCATAAAAGCAGAATATGACTTGAAAAAATTCTAATTAAACATATGTACTTCTTTGTGGCTTTTGGTTTGCTTGCAAAACCTTGCAAGGCTGATTTTATTTAAAATAATGAATATGTACACACAAACTTTAAGCTATGTCTTCCATTAACATTCATTCAATTACATCAGCTCACTTTCCATTGTTACAGATAATAAGGGGCATAAATTCTTACACATCAGCTTTAAGCTATGTCTTCCATTAACATTCATTCAATTACATCAGCTCACTTTCCATTGCTATAGCTTAGAAGGAGCATTAATTCTTACATTATAGCTATTAAAGTGAATTAACTTTTTCATTATAGCAAATGAAGGTCAAATAACCTTACATAAAAGCTAATAAAGGGCAATAACTCTTATGTTTGTAGATAGTAATGAGCAAATCCTTTGAGAAAATCCTTTTAACTTTTAAGTAACGGTCTACATTGTCTGAAACATTTTAAGCAGAATGCTTCAGAATGCTTATAATTGTGCATGTTGGTGTAGACTAGTTTCTATTATGTCTGTTTAAGCTGCATGCCTCCAGATGAGCCAATTTATCTCAAGGTAGAGACAATTTACCAACCAACTTATTGAAAAATCAGATAAACAGAAACAATTCAACAATCCAATCTACCAATCCAACTGCTATCATATTAATGGTGGAAATGTCACAAAAAATGAACTAAATCAGATGTAAACTTTATTTTCTTACCTCTCCATATTTATAATCCTTGTCATTATCTAAAGAATTGTCATCACTGATATTTGTACTAAGTCTTGTTGCTCCGTTGACAGCTATAACAGGTTGCCTCCTGGATATTTGTTGAGTGTTCTGTGTGTTGGAAAGATCACATGTTTCCATGACAACTTTATTGTCACAATTCCTGGTAGGATATTTCCAGTTAAGATTGTCACTTGCAGATGAAGACTGTGAGCTGAAGTAGTTTGTCCATCTTGATTGGTGTCCTTCTGTTCCTTCCTTATATAAATCTATATATTCATCAGGATATATATTCTCATCCTTGTCAGATGGTGAAACTCTGTTTACATTATGAGCATTTGATGGACCTTGTAATGATGCATTTGCACTTTCATTTCTAAAAGAATTACTGTGGCTTTTTTCTCTATTAGTTAAACATTGGTAATAGTCATTACATCTATCATCACTCACACTTGAAGATGCATTCTGTGGAAATCTGTCTCTATTAAAAAATGGTTGTTTTCCACAGATAGTCTTTTTATTGTCACTGTTAACCTTGTTCGGTTCTAAATATTTTCTGGTATTATCACTGTAGTATGAATCATCTTTACAACCTTGAGCAGTTGATTCCCTAAGAGCAGCTTTACTTGGTGTTCCATTTTTTGACTTGTATGAAGCGCTATAAACATTATCAACTGGTGATACACCATACGCTGCTTGCTTTATTACTGTGGGTTTTCTTGTACCGTAATTATATGGCAATGTTTCATGTCTACCTGGAACAAAGGACTGGGCTTTAAGTGAATTGGCTTGTCTCCCTTTAGTTCGACCAAGATTGCACTTACTGTCCCTGTAATGGTTGAAAAGCAATGTTTTAACTTATCTTAGAAATGTCATTAAAATATACAGATGAAAAAATCTCTTGTAAACAATCCTTGGGTTTATTATAATGCAAAGTCTCTCTAATATTTGATATACACAATTTAAGTCTTAACAGTTTTTACAATTTTTTTTTGTTCCATACAAATATGGAATGCATTTGAAATGACACATCTTTAAGGGGATAGAACATCAAGTGCTTGAAGGGTGTCTCTCTCTCAACCCAATTATCACTGATTTTAGCCAAATTGAGGTTGTATGACAAAGTTTCGCTTAGTTCCAGTAAGAAGACTTGGGAATAGTGGTTCAAAAAGGTCTCAAACTATTATCATTAACTGTGTTTAAACTAAATGGCCAAAATAGCCAGAAAATTGATCTATATTCTAAAATATATAAATATGAAAAGAAGAACAGTAAACTTACAAGGAAATCACATAGACCAACTCTTACAAATAGAGGGAAGTAAATTGTTTCTAACTCTTACAAACAGAGTGAAGTAAATAGTAATCATTATTCCATTACAATACATGTTGTGTTTTTATTTATTCTGCTGAAAACAAACTGGGTAGCTTTTTGTAATTTATTTCAAGACTGTTTTAACTAAATCTTTGAACACAGAAATGCATACTTCAGATTTCTGTTTGTCTGTTGCCACTGTTCGTTCATTCTGTCATCCCATTCTAAAGGAAGGTCTGGTCTGTCATCATTTGTTACATATGTATATCCATAATCTGTCTCATGACCAAAGCCATCATTGCTGGAATTGTTCAATTATTAATATATAGCAATCCCTTATAATCGTAAATATCTTAAACAATTTAATTGCTGGAATTGTTAAATAATAATGACGGGTAGTTTACCCTTACAATCCTTAATATCTTTAACAAGATATGTTTGTAAAACATGTATGCCCCCTATCGGCAGCCAATTAGTCATGTGATCAGGTTATCATGCATGACTTCGGACCCAGTGAACAAACAATTAATAAGGGTTATCTTGTATCTACTGGTCATGACTAGTCACAAGGTAATAATTATTGTGACCCCATAGGTTGTGTGCAGCAATTTAAGTTATTACAAATCTTACCAAATAATATGCATAAATTTTATGAATCATGTAGGCCTCATTAATGACAGCCAAGTTGTTATATTACATAAGACCTTCAAATGTGTATACCAAAAGCATTTTTCGTTTAATATAAAAATATCAACCAAGGCAACTTGAGTTGTTGAGTTATTGGTCAGAAACCATCATTAAGTACAAGGTCAATATGACATTGACCCCTTGACCCCAAAATCCATAGGGGTCATCTACTTGTCATGACCAATCATCATACAAAGTTTGAAGTTCCTAGGCCTAAGCGTTCTTTAGTTATTGATCGGAAACTGTTTTTACCTACAAGGTCAATGTAACCTTGACCTTGGACCCCTTGATCCCAAAATCAATAGGGGTCATCTGCTGGTCATGACCAAACACCATACCAAGTTTGAAGTTCCTAGGCCTAAGCCTTCTTTAGTTATTGATCAGAAACCTTTCATACTTACAAGGTCAATGTGACCTTGACCTTTGGCACCATGACCCAAAACGCAATAGGGGTCATCTGCTGGTCACGACCAATCATCATACAAAGTTTGAAGTTCCTAAGCCTAAGCGTATTTAGTTAATTGATCGGAAAAATATTTTACCTACAAGGTCAATGTGACCTTGACATTTGACCCCAAAATCAATAGGTCATCTGCTGGTCATGACCAATCACCATACCAAGTTTGAAGTTCCTAGGCCTAAGGGTTCTTTAGTTATTGATCGAAAACCGTTTTTACCTACAAGGTCAATGTGACCTTGACCTTTGACCCCTTAACCCCAAAATCAATAGGGGTCATCTGCTGGTCATGACCAATCACCATACCAAGTTTGAAGTTCCTGGCCTAAGGGTTCTTTAGTTATTGATCGGAAACCGTTTTTACCTAAGAGGTCAATGTGACCTTGACCTTTGACCCCTTGACCCCAAAATCAATAGGGGTCATCTACTGATCATGACCAATCACCATATCAAGTTTAGAGTCCCTAGGCCTAAGCATTCTTTAGTTATTGATCGGAAATCGTATTTACCTACAAGGTCAATGTGACCTTGGCCTTTGACCCCTTAACCCCAAAATCAATTGGGGTCATCTGCTGGTCATAACCAATCACCATACCAAGTTTGAAGTTCCTAGGCCTAAGGGTTCTTTAATTATTGATCGGAAACCGTTTTTACCCAAGAGGTCAATGTGACCTTGACCTTTGACCCCTTGACCCAAAAATCAATGGGGGTCATTTGCTGATCATGACCAATCACCATACCAAGTTTGAAGTTCCTAGGCCTTAAGGTTCTTTAGTTATTGATCGGAAACCGTTTTTACCCAAGAGGTCAATGTGACCTTGACCTTTGACCCCTTGACCCAAAAATCAATGGGGGTCATTTGCTGATCATGACCAATCACCATACCAAGCTTGAAGTTCCTAGGCCTTAAGGTTCTTTAGTTATTGATCGGAAACCGTTTTTGCTTACAAGTTCAATATGACCTTGACCTTTGACCCCTTGACCCCAAAAACAATAGGGGTCTTCTACTGGTCATGACCAATCACCATACCAAGTTTGAAGTTTCTAGGCCTAAGGGTTCTTTAGTTATCACTCGGAAACCATTTGGTCCACGGACCGACAAGTGCAAAGCAATATACCCCCTCTTCTTCGAAGTGGGGGCATAATAATTTAATTGCTGGAATTGTCCAATATTTTCATAGGTAGTTTACCCTTACAATCATAAATACCTTTTAAATTAATGAACTTGTCCATTTTTCATTCTGGACAAAACCAGGGTTCGTACAGACATCCAATGCCAAAATTCAAGGACTTTTTAAGCACTATTTAAGCACGTTTTCCCATTTTTCAAGCACATTTGTTGCACATATACTGACACAATCTTCAACCTATGATGAATAGTGTGTTCACCATTTTTTGTTAAATACACATTTTCTACTATTATAGAAGAACAACTAAGGGTGCATCAAGTACAGATTAGTTCAAAACAACTGCAATTTGTCCACTTACTGTTACCTTGAGTAAACATTTCATTGATTTTGATACTAAATTGGATCTTTTTTTTATTTTGTTAACCGTTGATTTTTATCAAAACTATGTCATTCTGTGATTCAAACATTTTCAAGCACATTTTTAGCAAATTTAAGCACTTTTTAAGCACTTTTTAAGAGAGTAATCAAATTCAAGGATTTTTAAGCACTATTTTACATTTTTAAGCACTTTTTAAGAAAGAGACTCAAATTTAAGCACTTTTTAAGACTGTACGAACCCTGAAAACATTCATTGTTTTACAGAAAATTGTCTGAACAACAAATAATGCACACCATGATCAGACATCATTTATGTCCCAATTGACCTTGATGCACGGTAACGTGGGTAGATTCTTTAGTCACCAGGCCCCATGTTCACTAAGATTTAAGGATCAGGGTCAAGATCAGGATCAAATCTAAAAACTCAAATATTATCCATTGTTTATCCTCAAAGATTAAATATCTAATATTAACATGATAAAACTGGACTTGAAATAGCATGTTTTTGAAATTTTAGAATAAATTTATTGTTATTTTTTCAAGATATGGGAATTTTACAGTTGCTCTAAATATTGATCTTGATCCAAAAATTGATCCTTAATTTGATCGGATTATTTCTGTATTTGTTTAGTTATTCATCAATTTTATCCCAAAATAGGTTTGTTTCATTGCAAATCAACAATTATTTACATTTTGAACATGTACCATTTAATTCTAGCAAAATACGATCAATATTAGTTATATAAAACATAGAAAATAAAATCAGGATCACTTGATCCTGATCCTGATCTTTTCTTTGTGAACATGGGGCCAGTGGACTAAGGGTTTTTATATACCATGTTATAACTATATAAATTAACAAGTTGTGATTTCTTTCAAGATGACAAAGAATTTTTTAAAATATATCTTGATAAAACTGACCCTCATGTTTCCACATTGTAAGAAAGATGTTTGTAAAATTCCAGTAATGCGAGCAATTGCACGCACGAACTCAGTGCTTAGACTTAAAAACAGCTGTAAATTTTGGTTAGAAAAAAAAACAAAACAATTCATTCTTATACAACATGTTTATTTCATGTTAATATTTACCTACCATTCATCTACTGTTTCCCAGTTATCAGCTGTGTCCATGTCTAAATTACAATCAGCATACTCTACACCAGATGCTTCAATATCTGGCAAAGATGCTTCATCATTTAAGATACCATCATCTAAAATCAGGCACACACAAAAAGAATACATCATATTCTATTATGTATTCACTGAAACTAAAAACAATCTTATAATCTGTGTCAAAAGTTTTTTTTTACATGTTATGCATTAACCAGATAAGGTTATAAACCACTCTATTGTATGATATCAACTCCATGTCATGGAAATCTTTATCACACTAGTGTTCTCTTTAGTTTATATATTTTAATGGTTAAAATAAGTACCAAATTTCAAAATGTCACTCTATTCTGCTGTAATTCAAAAGGTTAAAGGACTGTTCAATGACTCTTCTTGAACTTTAAAAACTTAAATTAACTTGTTTCTTGTATATTGTATATTGAGTACCTGGGTTGAATGTCTGTCTGTGTTTGGCATACATGTCTAACTCTTGCCAGTCATTTCTTGGTCTAACATTAATATTTTGCTGTTGTATATCTGAATGCCAATCTGGTCTGTCACATGCAACATTGTTTAAGGCTTGCTCTCCATACAAACCTGACCTATCACTGGATGTTGCAATACCTTCATTTACTCTACCATTGAGTCTGCTTGGTGTATATGCAAATCTAGATAAATCTAATCCTGTAGAATTTCCTCCCACCTTGATGAATAAAAATATGATTAATATGACTTATTTATACTATTTTATTTTAGTTTGATTGTGTTGGAAGCTATATATAAGTTTATTGAAACACTCTATAATCCATTCCTTGAACCAACCAGTACTAAGCAAAGAGTGTAAAACTCTTTTCTCATTGAAACAACAGCATGCCCCCAACAAGGTTTGAACCAATGCAGTCAGAAATCATTAGATTACTAGCCTGGCATGTTAACCACTCGGCCATGCCTCCACTTATGCTTTAATGGAACCATTTTGTCAGACAGGAAAAAGGTAAACAATATTATATTATATTATACTTTCTTTTCAACCTGTCCCTTGTTGATTATGTGCATTGGACAAGGCCTGTTCTAAATAAGGAACTGTCCATTGAACTTGGAGGGATTTTCATTCAAAATAGTTAAATTAAGAAGCCTAAAGTACACAGAGTGGCCCGACTGCATAACTTTGTTGACTGGTCAGTCTCTAACACTGTGGCTTAGATAAGTTATGAGTGCTGCATGTTAAAAATAGAATGTACTTAAAGTAATTACATGTGGGCAGAAAGATATCTTCATACTATGTATGTATGAATGGTACATACCGTGTTTTCATACATTTAACTAAATTATTTCAACAATAAACAGTTATGTATCATCAAATAATTAACTCCTGAGAACAAAATATAACATTTATATCATCTTAGAGGAAGTGTTCTGTTTGCATATTATTCTGTCATAATCCGCACCACCTTTAGAAATATTACTAAGTAAAATTCCCTTGGACTTCCCATATCAATACTTCCATCAACTATATACAGTAAACTCCAAATGTATCGATATCGCTTGTAATGATATATCGGTTATATCGATAGTTTGTCTTGGTCCCTGCCAACTTCCATTATAACCTAACGGAAGCATCCTCGCATATATCGATATCGCATGTATCGATATTTCGGATATATCGATGTGGATTTTCAGCCCCAACGCACATATATTACCTCTTAAAACGATAATTTGCTGCACAAGCTTGTTGTGGAAGAGCGGTCTCGGTCCGCTTGTTTTAATGCATAAATATCTGCTCGATTAAATACAATGATGCAGAACATGTTCTGTGCGTACGTAACTACCGTTTTGTTCTCAATACAGGTGAATTCATCTCAAAAAATAAAAGCATGGTTTTGTCCTTTTATTGTTTCCTTTCAATAACAATTTTCGTTGTAAATAAGTTATACATGTACATGTAGCTAAAACAGTGAACATGTCAGAAAAACGAAAAAGAAAAATTTTGGATATTGAAACTAAATATAAATTAATGCAAGAGATTAATCTTGGTAAACGTAAAAACAGGACATTGCAAACGATTTTGGAATTAAACAAAACACATTAAGTTCAATCTGGAAAAATAAAGATTCTGTCATCAATGCATACGAGACTACGTCGTTCCCAGCCCGTAAACGAATGCGTCATGCCAGTAATAGAGACATTGAAATGGCGCTGTTTGAGTGGTTTAAGACTGTACGATCCCAAAATGTGCCTATTGATGGACCTATGCTTACACGAAAGGCTAATTCTCTGGCATGTGAGCTGGGCATGGAAAATTTTCAGGCAACAAACGGATTTATTGAAAGATTCAAAAATCGTCATGGCATATCGAGCAAAACATTATCCGGTGAAGGTGCTTCCGTCGATAATTCACAAACTGAAAACTGGATGCAGTCAAAACTTCCAAGTTTGATCAAGGACTATGAACCAAAAAATGTCTACAATATCGATGAAACTGGCGTTTTTTTTTAAAATGACCCCAAATAAAACACTAGAGGTAAAAGGAACAAAATGTTTTGGAGGCAAACAAAGCAAGGACAGAATCACAGTGCTTATCAGCGCAAATATGGACGGTTCTGATAAACTTAAACTTTTGATAATCGGAAAATTCAAAAATCCTAGATGTTTTAAAAATGTTAAAAGTTTGCCGGTAGATTACGAAGCTAATCGTCGTGCTTGGATGAACTCAGAAATATTTATCAGTTGAGTGAAAAAACTTGACAAACGTATGACACGTGAGAAAAGATCTATTCTATTGTTTGTTGATAATTGCCCGGCCCATCCGAAAATCGAGGGATTAAAAGCTGTAAAACTGTTGTTTTTCCCACCTAACACTACATCTAAGTTACAGCCCTGTGATCAAGGGATTATCTTTTCATTCAAAAGCCATTACAGGTCATGTGTCCTTGACCATATTATTTCATGTCTAGACAAACATATCGATAAACAGATTAACATTCTAAAAGCCATACAATGGTTTTATGCGGCATGGAAAGATGTAACACCGACGTGTATCCAGAATTGTTTTAGAAAGGCTGGATTTATGAATCAAGCACAGCATGAAATTAATGCGACCCCGCAGGGGCATGTTTCCGATTCGTCTGACACAGACGAGTTCGAGGACAATGACATTCCGCTGGCTGAATTGGCATCGAAATGGAATCGCCTTAGAGTATTCAGTGACATAGACAAAAACATTTCTTTTGATGATTACATAAATGCCGATGAGAATGTTGTCTCCGTTGAGCAGAAGTCCGATAGCGATATAAAAGCGGAGGTATAGCAAAAATTGAAACCCGCTGAAACCCTGTCGCAGAGTGACGAAGAGAGTGACTCTGAGACTGTTGATGACCCCCCACCTACCATGAATGAGTTTCTTAATGCTATAGACACTTGCAGACGCTTTGTTCTTTCTAAGTCTGATTCGTGTGATTCTGTTTTCGGATGTTTACATGAACTTGAGAAATTTTCAGTTGAAATAGGGAAAGCCAAAAAGCAGACAAAATTAACTGATTTTTTCCGACAGTGAATGTCTTTGTACATGAACAAAACTTAAACAAGATTTACCCATGAGTGTAAATAGTTAAAAAAGCAATTTAATTTTGACGTTTTTTTTCCAGTGTATAAATTTAAGCCAATGTAAGGTTACCAGTACCTGTGTACATATTACTTTCGGTTTATGTCAGTTTTGTGTTTATTTTGATGTGCAACTGATTTTTTATGCATTCAACATTGATATGCATAAAAAGAATAAAGTTTTGTCGTAAGTACATGATTGTCACATGTCTAGTATATAATGCTACTGCTTATACATGTTGAACGATGCAGTGCATCGTCAGTAAGCTACACACCGTACAGAAATTCGGTTGTAACGATATTCGGATATATCGATATAGTTTTGTATGTCCCCTGAATATCGATAGTTTTGTATGTCCCCTGAATATCGTTATAAGCGGAGTTTACTGTACATGAATATATGCATGTCTAAGAGACCACCTAAAATATTCAACACTTTTTTTAAATTTGAATGTGGACCAATAAAGTCAATGACAGCATTTAGAACCCTTAACCTGCTGAATTTCTTAAAAGAAGCTGTTCAGCTTCATTTTTTTAACTGTCCATAATCAATAAAGAATATATCATCAGTCAACAAATATTATAGAGCCTGGTCAGACTGCACAGATATAAACAATGGTCTGGCTCAATACTGGTGGCAAATGCTGATCATTTTCCATTCCAGCAAAGTAATGGTTAAATAACCTAGTGAATACCTCTAATCTAATTCTCTTGTTTACGGATGGTGTAGAGGGTAATGTTGCTGCTCTGTTCTTAAGTTCCTGTAAATGGCTGGCCACTTGTTTTGTTGATGCTGGTTTAGGAGTAGCCTGGTTGGCAGTATTTCTACGTTTTGATGACACCCCATTCTTGCAGCATTCATGGGCACACATCTGCTTGTTATGGCATGTATGCAGACAAGGCTGGTTGTTGGAAAGTGACATGTTGCCTGGGTTAACTTCTCCTTTTGTCTGAGTACGAATGTTTAAATTTATCGATAAATAATGATAAATGTGAACTTTATTTTCATAATTATAATTTTAACTTTGTATGGTAATCAATCTTAACATATCTTTACATATGGTCACAAAGCTTTATTCAGATCTAGTAAAAGCTACAAGTAAGTTGCAATTTGTTAGCATATTGACAGTCTTTTTTCTTATCAAATATGACATTCAAATCATGTTAATATGCTAATAAGCATATTTTTCACAGCATTTCTGTCAAGAAATATGTTAAACACAAGTGTATTGAACTAACATTTAAAATCTAATATTCATGGAATGAAAAAGAATTTCTTAAGCTGTATACATCATATTTAAAGACTTTAAAACATTCACCTGTTGGTTTCCAATGTTCGATGAGGTCATTCTATTACCTCCAAGGTAGTTTGGTGTGTATGTACACTCAACATCTAGTCCCACTGTCAGGATGTAAAATAAATCTTTTTATTATATATTAATAAATGAGATATTGACCAATCATTATCAAAGCAAATCAATACAAACTCAATATACTTAAGATAAAACATTCTCAGAATTTTCCTCCTTGTTATAATTAAAGTACCTTAACATTGACCAATACAGACAACATAATTATGTGACCTTGTCATTATAGAATATTTTGTATGTCAAAGTCAAGAAATGAAATTTCACGCAGCTCATGTTAAGAGATTATTTAGGAAAATAGAATTCATTACTTTAGTTAGTTAACTAGATGTAAACATCTCACCCCAGTCTTGGCTGATATAATGTACAGACAAGTCTGGTCCTTTATCTGCCCTCTTCACCTCCAGTTTCTTAGTCCAACATATCTCTTTCAACAACAGAGCATCCCTGAGTAGAAGAAATTTTGATATCTAAGCCTCCAATATTCTAATGATATTCAAAAATATCTTGATCATATACAAGTATTATTTCTATACAACTTTTATTTTGACTTCAGGCTTTTACCCATTTATCCCAATGGAAATGTAAGTGATTAGCCCCTGCCACCAGCATAGAGCAAGGGCGACTTGCACTTCCATACTGACTGACCAGGCTGTGAGGCTCTTTACTGGTGGAAGCTTAGTTTAAGTATTGTTATGTAGAAATCCATTTCGAAAGTTCCAGTTCAATGCAGAGCAAATCCAATACACCCTAACATATGCCTTTTAAATACATTGTAGTATTCATGATTATTACTATAATACTGTAATCATCTTACAAATAAAACAGGGAAGCAGAAAAACATGGCTACATTTCACACTTTGAAAAAATTGTACACAATTTCAAAGCACAAAAAAAAAAAGAAGAGAAAATGGCTAGACTTTACAATATGTCTGCAGCTATTTTTTACATTTTACACAATATTATTTCCTGAATATTTATAGTTTATGTTTCTCTAATAATCACTCAGATTACTTCTAGGGTTAATGTTGTGGGTAAGGGTTAGTGTTATGGGTTAAGGCTAGTGTTATGGTTTTGAGTTAGTGTTATGGGTAAAGGCTACAGGGTTAGGGTTAGGATTATGAAGCACTGATTTTGCTGCGGACAGATTCTAAAAGTGCTTCGCGAGAATAATTTAAACTTTAAAATCTGAAATCTTACATTATTCTCTGTTTAAATATCACTTTATTATCGGCATCTCCAACAAGCAATGTACATGTATGGCCTGTACTATTGGTCAATGCCTCTCTATTTGTTATCTGGAGGGTGATAACAATATCTGCTGTATTTACACTGTACCTCATCACCTGTTTCAAACACACAAAACAGCATCCATTATAATTTATAACATGTGATGGTGTCACTTGTTTTCAATGAATTTTTACAACAACTTTTTATTTATATTAGTAAATAATATTACAAACATTCAATTACAGATATAACATCATCACTTTATTCAATGCTATGTAGGCAATAAGTGATAATAAGTTTTTTTTTTAAAAAAGGCATGCCAAACAGTGAATTTGTCATTCTTCTTTACATTATCATGTAATAAAAAGAAACTTCATACGATAAAGACTTATATTATAAACTTGGATACTCATGTGAAAATTTTTTAGATATGGATCATCAGTGCAGACTTTAAACTCATGAGCAAAATTTCAGATATGAATGTGCAGACTTTAAACTCATGTACAAGGGTTTAAGATCATTAAATTTTGCTCACTCCAGTTTTCCAGAATAATCATTTTAAATGTATTATGGAAAATGATTCAAAATTGAAAAGCATTTAAACACTTTTTAACACAAACCTGGGCAAGAATCACACAAAAAAATCTACTTTCAAATTAATTCTGTACTATAGTTACTTTTTACATATTTTTCCATTTCAAGTAAGCTCAGGTAAGCTTGTTTTACATAAATTTGTCTAGTGACACTATAATCTTTTTCATTATTATGACAAAGATCTTGCACATAAGAATCACTAACAAAGTGCCGTATATAGATATGTTTTACCTGTTCAATTACAAGTTCATACTTGGGAAGCTTTGCAATGTTATCTTTAACTTGGTTACCAAATGGTGGGTGTCTGTTTACAATCTGTAAGAAAATAGTTTTTTTTGTTGAAATTTGAACAAAAAGAACAACATGTATAAAATACAACATTTTCATATTAAATCAAAACAAAACAAGATATGTTTGTAAAACATGTATGCCCCACTATGGTAGCTAGTTAGTCATGTGATCAGGTTATTATGCATGACTTCTGACCCAGTGAACAAAAAATTAATAAGGGTTATCTACTGGTCATGACTAGTCACAAGGTAATAATTATTGTGACCCCATAGGTTGTGTGCAGCAATTTAAGTTATTACAAATCTTACCAAATAAAATATGCATAAATTTTATGAATCATGTAGGCCTCATTAATGACAGCCAAGTTGTTATATTACATAAGACCTTCAAATGTGTATACCAAAAGCATTTTTAGTTTAATATAAAAATATCAACCAAGGCAACTTGACTTGTTGAGTTATTGGTCAGAAACCATCTTAAAGTACAAGGTCAATTTGACACTGACCCCTTGACCCCAAAATCAATAGGGGTCATCTACTGGTCATGACCAATCATCATATAAAGTTTGAAGTTCCTAGGCCTAAGTGTTCTTTAGTTATTGATCGGAAATCGTTTTTACTTACAAGGTGAATGTGACATTGACCTTTGACCCCAAAATCAATAGAGGTCACCTACTGGTCATGACCAATCATCATATAAAGTTTGAAGTTCCTAGACCTAAGCATTCTTTAATTATTAATCTGAAACCGTTTTTACTTACAAGGTCAATTTGACCTTGACCTTTGACCCTAAAAAATCAATAGGGGTCCTCTACTGGTCATGACCAGTCATCATTCCAAGTTTGAAGTTCCTAGGCCTAAGCGTCCTTTAGGTTAAGAGTGGAAACCATTTTTAACTTCAAGTCAATGTGACCTTGACCTTTGACCCCTTGACCCAAAAATCAATAGGGTTCATCTGCTGGTCATGACCAATCATCAAACCAAGTTTGAAGTTCCTAGGCCTAAGCGTTTTGAAGTTATTGATCGGAAACCGTTTTCACCTACAATGTCAATGTGACCTTGACCTTTGACCATAAAATCAATAGGGGTCATCTACTGGTCATGAACAATAACCATACCAAGTTTGAAGTTCCTAGGCCTAAGCGTTCTTTAGTTATTGATCGGAAACCGTTTTTACCTACAAGGTCAATGAAACCTTGACCTTTGACCCCTTGATCCCAAAATCAATAGGGGTCATCTACTGGTCATGACCAATCACCATACCAAGTTTGAAGTTCCTAGGCCTAAGCGTTCTTTAGTTATTGATCGGAAACCGTTTTTACCTACAAGGTCAATGTGACCTTGACCTTTGACCCCTTGACCCCAAAATCAATAGGGGTCATCTACTGGTCATGACCAATCACCGTTTTAAGTTTGAAGTTCCTACGCCTAAGGGTTCTTTAGTTATCACTCTGAAACCATTTGGTCTACGGACCGACGGACCAACAGACCGACAAATAGAAGCAATATACCCCCTCTTCTTTGAAGTTGGGGCATAATAAAATAAAAACAAAACACAATGTCCCTGAATAATAGAACATTCAAAGAAAATATTTAATAAAAGTCACCTAAAATTATATTAATAAGATTAATAAAAAAATTGTCATACACACAGACTAAAGTATAATCAATGATTTCTCTATTAACGAGTAAGCTATGTTACAATGTAGAACAAACCAGTTCTATCTCTCTTGGATCCTTCTCTTCCAATTTCTCAAAAGTTGTCAAACCAGCATTGACAAGTGCTGTTGACAATGTAGGACCTGAAAATATTCGCAATTCACAATGTTTATGCCATTATTGTCCTCTTAAGCATATCACACAAAGAGAATATTTGTTTTTCTAAGCAATGATAAGAAACTTTTAGACATCTGAGTGGTCACTTCATACTACACGATCTATACATATAATGCGCTTCACTACTGAAGGTGGTAATATAAATTGTACCAGTGATTCAGACTGGGTTGGCACGTCAGCCCATGGCTGATAAAAGTCACAGATGATGGAGAAAATATAAACTTGCTATGCCCATCGGGGTGGGAAAATTACTGTCCTTCAGAAAATATGACTGATGAATATCATCATTTAAAAATTTTGTTTATCTTTTTGTCAGAATTACGCTAGTTTAACCCTTTACCACATATATACGCGAAACAACGCACTTTCGACCCCCCCCCCCTTTTTTTAGGCCCCAAAGAGTGAAAATATGTCCTATTCGGGCCCCAAATACATGTTTTCGTTTGAGAAATGTTGCTAAAAAATTTGAGCAATTTTTCGGCGCCGCCCCCATCTAAAAGATACATAAGGGGGTTGCCAAAAGGGGGATGTGCCCCCTTCTGTTAGGGGAGTTTGAAGGTGGGCGGAGTCCCCCTCATCGCCAAGAAAATTTTGGACTTGTGAGAGGCTAAAAATGACCCCAGGTCGATCATAATGTAACGTGTAACCAACGCTGAAAAGTCTTTGACTCTATCTCAATCCCTTGAGAAGTTGCAGCACTTTGAAATAAATTTTGATGGAAAAAAACGAGGCAAAATAGTGATTTTTGGCAATTTTGAGATGTCCCCTCGTTGCCATGGTAACAGGAAATTTAAGACTGAGCATGTCGTTGCAAAGGCAATGGTCCAGTCAACATTTGTGCCAAGTTTGATTAGTATTGAAGCATTTTTCATAGTTTTATAGCAGTTTGAACTTGTAACAGGAGGCTTTTCAGTGAAAACGGCCATTTTTCACAATATGCTCATGGGGGAAAGGGTTAAGACTGTGTGAATTAAATGTTCAAATTTTTATACCAGCCCACCTTATATCTTTGTAAGAGATAAAAAAATGTCCAAGTTTTTTCTGTGATTTAGGACAAATTACCTGAACTTTTTTTCCATTAGGAAAGAACTTATCAAATCTGAATCACTGCATGTACTCTCCGGTCTTAAAAATGTGTTAATATAACAATAACCCCCTGGTTTCAAGAACACACAATAATGCATTTATAAATTTCATCAAATTCCAGGTATAACTCAAAGATGTTACACCAATCATTGAACATTATTACAAAATGACAGTGGTGCTGCTATAAAATTAAGCCTTCCTTTAAATATGTTAGTTTATTAATTAATTTTAATTACCTATTCCATCAAGCTGTTTACTGACATACTTGGAATCTTCCCACAGTCTTGCTTTAAAACTTTTACACAGTAACAGGGCACTCAGCAAACACTTAAATTGACTCTTCTGTGAAAGAAACTCCACCAAACCTGTAAAAAGTCTCATCTTCATAAAACATAGGGCATGATTGTATCTAAAATAATTGAAGTATTGTCACATATTCACATAACTACCAAGTATTCTCATGCTAGCTTGAATACTATTTGAGTTATCCCATAATTTTTAAACCAATTTATGATTATATTTTTCATTATATGAGCAATAAATTTTGATCAAAGGAAATCAATGAATTTCCATCCCTATTTTTCATATTGCTTCGGTTATAAAAACAGTTGTAAATTAATTCTCTACTATAAAAGTGCTAAATAAAAGTATTAGTTTTAGTACTTTCCTTTTGAAGTATAATTCATATGTAATATGCAAGAAAAAGAATCAAACACCAGCTGTTTTACTGACAGAAATATCCAGCTTTTGAGTAAATGTCAACAGAAACCAAGCCTCATTTCTACCATTAACAGTTACCCTCAATCTAAACTGTTTTCAGTCTGTCCTGGCAGCAGATGTTAGATTCTTAATCTATGTCTTGATTATGATGATAATTTATGTAAATTTTGAATTAAAACTAGATAAATAATGGAAAGATATAAAAGTATTGACAACTTACACCTCGTGACTCGAATTCCTGCCCTGAATATTCTGTTTGTATCTTGTTGCAAGGCAAAATCTTGGATCAGAAGACTTCCAAATGTTGCCTGGATTAAACTGTCATAAACAAAAGAACGCAATACCATTTCAACAAAATTTCTTAACATTTTACATATCTTTACCAAAATTTATTTTGAAAAGATAATGATAATTTTCAAACTAATAAACATATGTTTTGTGCAGAAAACAAACAAAACTAAAACCATAATTAAGTTACCCTCAGACACTCTTCAGGAAAAAATAAAATGACTGTCACTTGATTCTGCATTATTTGAATAAAGCTTAATCGCTTGTGACTCGCCCCATCCCCCCCCCACTACAAATAATACCCAATACCCCTGCTATATTTGGCAAGAAAAGTCCATTGCATTTACTACTATTTACTTAAGGTCATAGCATCTGATGTCCAAAATATGCCCCCTAAATGTTAATGTATTCTTCATTTAATTCTGGTTTTGTAACTAGAACAAAATTAATGCATATATTGTTACCATAATAAAATTAATGAACATACCAGTTCACCTTCATATCAGTTGTCTTTATTTTCCCAGTCATTGGATATCTGGCAAAAATAACATCACATACTATTTTGAAATTTAATAAACATAACCATTTATTGGGAGCTTTTTTATATTCTTTTTAAAACATTTTTCTTCAATATGTCATCAATAATCAGCATAACAGAATGGATTTTTTGTTTATAAAACCATTTGAAACACTTATAAAGACAAACATACATGTTTTAGTTGTTTAGCTTTGCTGTTGACTGCAAAATTAGACATAAACTTTGTATTGATGCTTCATTACCAAAATCCAAATGCAGAAAAACATGCCTCTTCAATTCTAGAATTCTCTCTCTACTATTTTGACACAAAAAGCAAGGTTTACAATGGAAAATTTATACCTAATAGTGAGTCACTGATATAATTCAAACATATCCAACTCTAAAATTCTATACTTTTTGGACATAAAAAGAGTAAATGAGGCATACAAATGAAGACAAGTACCTTATAGTGATTCTGTTCTTGTCTTTATTTAGAGTATTTAATGTTTTCTTCTCATTATTCCTCAATTTAATGTCATCGAACTCCTGGCATTTACTGATTATACTTAGCTAGAAAAACAAACAAGAACTGTTGAAAAGTTATCTAAATAAGTTACTTTATAAATAAAATGCATCATCAAGAAAGTCCTCATATTTTGATAGGGTTAATTAGGCTTTGCAAACTATCATAATAAAACTCATAAAAAACTCAGATATACACATCACAGAAAAAAATGAAGGATAGGGTAATTAATTTGTACAATAAACCTCAAGTAACAGCAACATAGCAACATTACATATGAAAGGAAATGCCATGACTGAAGTACATTTATAGAGATGCTACAAATATTTTCAGAGTCAAAATATATAAGTAAAATTGAAAACTGGGATGACAAAATAATTGATGAGACATATGAATTTTATTTTGTGAACAATGGTGTCAAATCTTTTAAGCAATACCAACCATATCTTGTAAAGATTCATCTCCCTTGAATGCTAGAAAAAGTTCAGCAGTCTTGTAAGATATACAGTATCTTGCCATCAAACGACCACTCTCTAGGTAAAAGAAAAGGGATATACATTTCTATGACACAACATTTAGTCTGAAAAGATAGCTCACACTACAGAAACACAAAATTCTTTAGAACTGAACTTACTACAGTTCTTCATGAGATCTTAAGCGACATGCACTAAATGTTAGCTAGAACATGTATGATGTATAAATGACAAAAGTTTCATAACAGATTTAATTCAAAGATAGTGATAATAAGTAATTTTATGATTCTTCTGAGTCAGTTTTTACAAAGGCACCTGACACACCTTACCTTATTTCACTCTTGATACATGCCAAGCATACTGGAATAGTCCAGCAAAAGCTTAAACTCTGTTTAGCAAATTATGTTGACAACATACATGTACCATTTCTGATTAACTTCATTGTAAACAAGTGTGACAATGTGTTTAAAAATACACACTAAAAGTCTGCATATATCTGCTGGGTTGAAAACTATACCTGCAAATTGTCTGTTGTGTGTTTGTTTGATTTTAAGGAGCACCAACACAATTTAGGTCATATGTTGCCAAAGCAGGTAAGATGATTTTGCCTAACTTCGGCTGTTACAAACTAAAAGCAAAACAAGGGTCAAAGTCACCTCACATCTAAGTAAGTAAGAGATGCATAGACTCCAATAAAGTGAACTCATTTAGTCACCTCTACTTCTTGTATCATGCAGGGATAAACGGTGGCTGCAATTCTTATGCATTAATACTTAAAGGAGTACCTCAGCAACAAGAGGGAAATCTAAAGGTGTAAAACTACCTGTGGGTCTAACATCCATGTTCTCTTCATTCATCTGTATAAGGCTAAGCTTATTCAACTGATTTAAACTCTTCATACACAAATCTGTAACAATGTTTAATTAAATGCAATAAAAATATAGATATATTGTGCAAGCCAAACTCTAGTTTGAAACTTTCATGCAATAAATGTTGTTAAATAAGAAAATTTGAACAAAAGCCTCCCCCATCTCACATAGGCTTATTTTATAATTACACACAACAAAATGCATTAGGAAATCTTGTTTGAAACTGTTTAAAATAATTTATGTGAACCCAGTTATTTCATACTAAAACATAAAATTTGTTACATTATTTTTTTTGTATAAAATTTTAAAATAATTCCTTAACCCTGACCACAATATGTACCTTAAATGGACTGGTCCACTATTCAATCTGGACAAAACCATCATTTTCAGGTAAAACTTTAAAATGTGTACTGACTAAATAGTGGACAGTCCAGACCATTATATTGGCCTGGACTGTTCCAAATAGTACAATCTGTTGCTTCCATCAGTCTAAGTTTTAAAGACACAATAATAGAATGATTAAATAAAAAGGATTTAATTATAGATTTCCGATTATCTAGGTCTGAAAAAGAAATATTAAGAGAGTAACATGTTATCAAGCCTTACCTTGTAATCTTTTCTCAATTGACTGCCTTGTAAGACCACTTGGCATTCCTGGAACATTTTTTTAAAGATGATTAATTTAACTCACTACTATTGTGTACAGTCTCACCGACACTTCAGTACTAAATCAGGAGTTTTAACAACTGACAAACAATAATTGTCTATATATTGCATCTAATTTAGGCAGTAGTTCACATTTCAGGTTAATTGACTTCAGAAATTAATATGTTTTATTCTAGTAACAGTGAACACTAAATAAAATAATTTCAAATACAGTTGACTCTCAATACAGTTGACTCTCAATAAGTCAAAATCGTTTTACTCAAAATTCCGCGTTTGTCGAAGAATTTCTAAAGTCCCGTCAAATTTCCTTCTTTATCTTTGTATTTTAACTCCGCTTAGGTCAAATTTTGACTTACCGAGACTCCTGTTTAGTCGAAAAGAAAATTTGGTCCCGTTAATTAAAGTTCAACATGTTTTCATCTCAATTAGTCGAAGTGTGAAAACAGCCGATGGCGACATCAAGGTGAGATGTTGTCAATTGTGATTCACACGTTTCATAGTAATTTTAATTGCTGGTCATCAAGGATTATTAACACGTCGTGAAAGTGGCTTTAATCGGACTTAATTGTGTGTTACCAACGTAAATGACATTTGTATAATTAATGTTCCGTCATATTGCATACATTAATATGTACTTCCGGTTCACGATAGTTGCCACTTTCGTTTTCGTCAGATGATCAATTCACTTCAAATATTAGATAAATTGTTGTTGAAATAAATGTTATTGTACTTTTATTGTAATGAATTGTCATGAGTGCTTATAAAAACATGTGCTTTACTGATGAATACTGGCAAACTTGCATTTATGTCATTGGTTTATGTTTCACTATTAATATACATGTATTAAATTTTGAATAATATATTTTTGTTCATTTATAATTTGTAGTTGTAAGTGAAACACCATCATTTCAACTATCAACAATAACAAACCTACGTCTTTGCACATACATCTATACACATGTACGAATATCAAGGTAATGGCGGCAGATCCACATTACTCGAACTCCGTTTCTCTCGAAGTAAAATGCCCAGTCCCTTGGATTTCGAGTTACCAAGAGTCAACTGTAGTTATTTTGACTATGTTTCAAAATTGATGATCAGTCAGATGCTGATGCCAAACAACTGAAGCTGTCGATTGTTCTGGCTTGTTCAACCCAAATGAAAAAATTGCTGGATGTTATAATGAAAATCACAGAAATTACCATAGTATGTAGGATTTTTCATGACTCTAATATACAGGAAAGTATATTTGAGCCATTCTACAGCCACAGAGATATCAGTAATAGTGTTGAGGACTATCTCAGCATTCAAATGTTCAACCAGGTTCTTATGTAGACTGCTCTCTATCAACTGTGTACCATTCAACAAATTCTCATACTTCATCTATATATAAAATTAAAACAATTTTACAGGGTTTTCTAATGAAAATTACAAAATAAACATTTTTTTTCAGTTTGTTACTCTATTAAGTCGGTAAGTAAACCAAAATATATTTCTCACAAAATAAAGACAAAGAAACAAGGATATTTTTGCATAAGAGAGGTGAAGCTATAAAGATTTTTTTTATTCCATGGGGAAAGATTGGTTAAGGTGTCTGCCTCTCAACAAAGAGAATGTGGATTTAAGCCCTACCATAGTTATGGCCTGATTCTTCTTATGACACCAGTACAGACTTGTTCGATAAAAGAAAATATATACAAGATTCAAACCTTGGTTGAGTTTTTTGTCATGATAACAGCAGTGGCACTTGTATCAAACTGTGGTCTGCCAGCCCGACCTATCATCTGCAGCACCTGGGTATCAGGGTACTCCTGGTGTGAGCCCATGTTGTAGTACATAGTTGATTTGATTATTACAAGATGAGCAGGGAGATTCACACCCATGGCTAGGGTACTGGTGGCCACTTGAAATAAATATTCAAAATCATGATGTGATTATGTATATCAAAACAAATGCCTCGTCACAAATGAATGATGACTACATTGTGAAATAATTTCAAATATCCTAAGCTTTATACTTAAATTTTTTTTAAAAGAAGTTTTCTTCCTTAAGTATCTTAAGCTGGTGTATGAAGACATAAGCATACAGAATGAAGATCTTATTGCCAAGGTTTCAGATGTCTTCAAAGAATAATATATGAACATACAAAAGCTATTTGCCTAAATCCTAGATCAGCCAAAAATAGTGATTAGTTTTTGACTGTACACTAATTTATTTGTAATGAAATATCTTCCTTTACAGAATTCAATATATAATTCATAAACTATTTAAAAATGTTATTGAGTGAACATCTTACACATGTAAAAAATTATATTCTGTTCTATATCCAATTCTTTATCAAAGCAAAACAAAAACAAACACAAAGCACAAAATCTCACCCAGAACTGGTAATTCTCCTTTTGCAAAGGTTTCTTCAATAAGTTTTCTATCCTGAACATCCATCCCTGCATGATGGTACCCTATCCCCTTCACAACCAAATCTAAAATTCCACAAGTTCTATAGACAATAGGGTACAGGTTTAAAATTGAATTTTACTGAAGCCTGCATCAAAAACAAGGTGACTTTCCATGAATGACATAAAAACAGAGAAGCAGTGGCGTAGAAGTTAAGGTGTCTGCCTCAAAACCCAGAGATTGTGAAAATGAGCCCTACTGCAGGGTCACAACTATGTTTTCTCAAATAACACATCAATGGTTTTATATAGTTATCCCAGGAACATACTCAGTAGTGGTTCAGATAAGCCTCAAGCTTTCCATAATCCCTCAAGTAAAAACTAAATCATACCTGTGTCAATATTCTTGTAATTTTGTAGATTTTATTGCTTTTGAGATATCTTCCGTTTTCCGAATTATTTTCTTCTCAATTGAGATTAATTAACAAGAGTTTAACTAAAACAGATCTTTCATAAGCTGTAACCATGCCCTCATGAATATAATGATCATTTGTATCACTCTCAATGCACAAGACACAAAAGCAATGCCTCAAAAAGTTTAATATAACTTTCGAATGTCATTGATAAATTTCAGTTTATCAACAGAAATAGCTAAATTATCATAATCCAGTAGATTTTCCTTTGTGTCCAACTTCAAAATGGGTTTTGTTTCAAACTTATGTATTAGTAAGAAGAAACATTTTAAAAGAACCATGCCAACTTCAAATACTTGTTTTCTTATAACCATAATACTAACAGAAAATTCAACAGAACAAGTATTAAATTTAAATATAGTATTAAAGGAATGATTTTCAAATAGGCCAATATACTATGACTGTGCAAAGGCCAATAGATTCATATAATTTTGAAATAGGCCAATACATTTTGTATACTATGACTGAGCAAAGGCCAATAGACTATGTGCAAATACCATAAAATGTCATTCTATAACAGGCAAGTTTGCTGTAAAAGATTCGATTATTAACTTCACATGGTGTAATAGATAAACTAACCTCTCAGTTTAGAGTCTTTGATATGGAATGACATGTTCTGTAATGCAAGTCTGTGCTCTGAATTTCTGACATATAAACTTTTAACATCTTTACTGAGTATCTCCGCACCTTGCATGGAACTCTTTCTTGTTGCACAAAACTGAAACCAAGGTATGCTATTAGAAATAACAATATGCTTGAACTAAACTAATGTTAGCATTTATCCATTCCACATCACTGTCCTACAAATATCAAAGATTTGTACAAAAACTGTAAAATTTCTATTTCCAGCATCCCAATCAATTTCAATGAAAAAATAGCAAACATCAGTTTTCTATTGTATGTATAGAATAAAACATCAATGTTTTAATTCTGATGTAGTATCTGTTTTGTACTCGAAAGAGTATTCGTTTCCATTCAAAATATAATTGATACCTTTGGTAATAACCTAATAGATTAATTGATATATGCATTAAATTTTTATCATTACTTCTCTTTAAAACATTTTAAGGATAATTCTTAACATTCCATGATCAAAATATAAAATTGTTAATTCCTTGATATATTTACAAAAAGTTTTCAGTTTTTAAAATCCTCAATATTTCTAACATAGAGTGATATTGGTTTATGCATAATTTATTTTAGGTTGATTGCATAGGAAGCTAATAGCTTATGGAAATACTCTTGAAATAGAGAGATATTTTAAGGCATTTTCCAGGAATATGGGCACCCTGGACATTAAACAGCAAGGTAAATGTCATTTTATCAATATACTCACGATCAGAACAGGTTTACTATCACTATAAGTATTTATAACAGCAGCAAGTTTATAACTGAGGGATATATCAAACTGAAATTCTGACTGCTTGTTCTCAGCAAAGTGGTATCCCAGAACAACCTTCCTCAGCCTTACTGGCCGAACACTGTCATCCATTCTGAGAGAAAAATAAAATAGAAATCATGAACCAGCAGATAATGAAATTGTACAGTCTGGCAATATTTTTAGCAGTGTCTCCAAATATTTGATTCCACTGAAGCTTTGACGGCAATTTATTTATTATTATAATTGCTCATCCTTTAGCTGAAAAGGGCTATAAAATACATTTTTTATAGTCATGGAAATTCTTACAGGTGACTCACTCTCAAAGACTGTGCAAGTAATTTGATTTTAGAAAGACTGTTACGAGTGTTCAGGATACAATAATTTCGTCATTCCACGTCATCAGAAAAATCTGGTTCTTTAAATTGCAAAATGTAAAGCACAGTTACAAGAGAACCCTTCAAAAAGTTTTGTCTGAAAGACCAAGTAATTTTGTTAAATAGCATAGGATCAAACTGTACTTGAAGTCAGGCAGTATAAACACAGGACAACAATGTCCGAACTTTAAGATTACCATGAAAGAATTGTCTGTTATTAGTTAAAGGACTTCAGTAAACACTGTACATGTATTACAATATACAAAACAAGCCAGTTTGGTAAGACTTAACTTGCACATTATCATGATTGCAACTATAGCCCATTAAATGGTAATGTCAACTGATTTTGTGCTTATAGATATATAATAAAGCAGTGTTGGCATGTACTGAAACAGTACACACATAAATTATAAGTAAAAGTAAATAATTAGGTGGTAATTAGAAACTTACTTATAATGAACTGCAGGGACTTTACCATGTCCAAGCCATTCTGCCAACTGTAAACAACATAGTAAGATCAATATATTAATAAATGAATACAGATAGGTTGAGAACTTTTTCTGTTTTCTTCTCTTAATAAACATATTTCTTTACTTTTTTAAATTCAATATAACATTGCTTATTCAACTGTTACAGAAAATAAATTTATATTTTATATTCCTGTTGTTTGGCAAGTATTTACCTCAAATGGCTAGTCTTGTTTATGAAACATGAAATAAAGAGAACAAAAAAAAAGTTTCCTTACATCCTCTATGTTGGTGATAGTAGCAGAAATAGCTAAAAATCTGAGTGCTGGGAGATCTGATGTACCTTTAGACCTGTGTCTAGCTGCCTGTATCGTCTTCATTCTACTAGCTACAGCTTCTACCACAGAACCTCTTGTAGGGTCATTTAATATATGGATCTGTATTAATTAATAAATACAAATATGAAACAGTCCTTGAAAACTGTGAGTGAGTACTACTTTAATATCAACAATTTCGTTACAATGCACCTGTCATTAATGTGTTAATTATGGTGAAATTCATGGATTATGAATATTATCTGATATGAAAAGGTCATTAAGAGGTCATTATGCCAAAAGGAAGCTATTTATGTGTGTTGGGGTGTACTGTGCTCAGACAGAAAGGACAAAAAAATACAACTTTCTATCCATTAGACTGCTGGGGCAAAGAAATGCCCCTTTGTTTTCAGAATACAATATAACAATAATGCTACACAAGAATTTTTTTATTTGTACATCATCAAATTTGATACAATTTTCAAATATTTGAATAGCAGAAAACATTAAAGTTTTTGCACAAGGATGTTGACAACAATGATACAGCAATCATAACAGCTTGACTCGCGATTAAAAATTATTCAACATGGCTATATCATAAAAGAATTTGCCTCTGTTGTGTATTAGAGTTCTATAAAATAAGAATATAAACATCATGTTCATATGTTTATTTTCACCAAAAACAATTCCTGATTTTAAATCAGACAGCAGATGAAAATATGCAATAAGCAGATGATGTTATGAGAAGTAAAAAAAAGAAGGAATAAAATGAATACAAGTCTAAGGTACACATACTTCATCAATGAGGAAAAGACAGATGGCATTCATCACAGTTTTATTGTCTCTCCACTTTCTGGTCATACTGTCCCATTTCTCCTGTAACAAAATCAAAAACATTCAAATCATCTATCAAATCAATAGCCTAAAAATGACTTAAGTTTTAGTTTAATTTTTTCAGGACTTTCATATGTATGTTTTAAGATACATACATTAAGAGATAAAACAAGAGTTGCTCACCTGTATATAGGCCCCCGGAGCGGGCCAGTTTAAACCCCAGGGCTTTTATTTGAACAAACTTGGTAGACACCCATTAGAAGATGTTTCATGCTAAAAATCTAAGGTCTAGCTTGTTGGGTTTTGTAAGTTTTTGTCATACAAATATAAGGAAAATGAATAACCCCCGGGGCGCGGCCAATTTTGACCCCAGGGCTCTTATTTGAACGAACTTGGTAGACATCCATTAGAACATGTTTCATGCTAAATATCTTAGCTCTAGCTCTTTGCATTCTTTAAAAGAAATTTTTTAAAGTTTTTACTATATGCATATTGGGAAAATCAATGACCCCCTGGGGCGGGGCCAATTTTATTTGAACAACCTTGGTAGACACCCATCAGAAGATGTTTCATGCAAAATATCTTAGCTCTAGCTCTTTGGGTTCTGTAAAAGAAGATTTTTTAAGTTTTTACTATATGCATATAGGGAAAATCAATGACCCCCTGGGGCGGGGCGAATTTTAACCCCAGGGCTTTTATTTGAACAAACTTGGTAGACACTCACTAGAAGATGTTTCATGCCAAATATCTAAGCTCTAGCTCTTTGGGTTTTTTAGAAGAAGATATTTAAAGTTTTTTCTTTTGGTTGCCATGGCAACCAGAGTTCTGCATGGAATGGAATTCTTTGAACAACTTTGTTAAGGCATCACACAAGGAACATCCCTGTGAAGTTTCATTATGATCTGCCTTATGGTTTCAGAGGAGATGTCGTTTTAAAAGTGTGAACGGACAACGGACGACGTACGACAGACAACGGACGAAGAGTGATCCTAATAGCTCACCCTGAGCATATGCTCAGGTGAGCTAAAAAACAATCAGTGAAATCCTAAGTAATTTCAGACAAGAATTTAATTGGATAAGTAGAGAACATAACACTTCTTAGATCAAGTAATTAAAAAAATTGAAAAAAATTGTATATCTCAGACATACTGGTGTGGTAAGAATGATGTTAACACTCTGAAGCTCATAGAATTCATCAGTGTCAGTGTCCCCAGTAAGTTCCATTATCTTCAAACCATATGGTTCAAACTTAGTCTTCCAGTCGCTGAATTTCTCACTACAAAGGGCTTTTATAGGTGCCACTGGAATATAAAGGTATAAAACTTAAGATAATTACAGAAATTTTGTAACCTTAGAGAATCTTAAAAATGTGACAAAATAACACCTTGAACATCTTTTCAGCAATTTTTGAAATCATAGAAATCACAGAATCACAAGACTGTATCTTTTGTAATAATTTGATAAAGGTACTTGTTGGACAGGTAACACCTTTAAAAGGCTTTAAAAAGAAATGTTAGTTGCGATAACACTGTAATAAATGCTGCAAAAAAGAAAAACAATTTCAAATTTGCTAACCACATTTTGTAAGCCTTAGGGACATTGGTTATGTTTTCTGCATAAACTAAAATCTGATGATGTTTATTAACTTGAAAGTTACAATAAAGTGAAAATTAAATTACAACTGAAATTGGTAAGCCAAGGTATATTTTGTAAATGAAAGTATAAACTTACTATAAACTATTTTAAAATTTCTACTGAAATTTGTATCAGATCTGATGAGGAGTCTAACTATAGCCATCTCAAATACAGCCGTCTTTCCAGACCCAGTGGGAGAACATAAAACTAAACATTTGTCTGTGTACATCACCTACAAGGTAAAATACCATTGATTCTGTGATACTGAAACTTAAGGGGAATTAGCCATGTCATCTTAAAGAAATAATAGAGCAAGTTTGTAGCATTTATTCAACCTTTCAACAACATTTTCATGAGAGTAATTGTGAGAATTCCTTTTCCTTGAATGATCTAAATCTGTATTATTAACCCATTACTTCATGAGCATTTTGTGAAAAATGGCTGTTTTCATTGAAAAGTCTCCCGTTACAAGTTCAAATTGCTATAATACTATAAAAACTGCTTCAACACTAATCAAACTTGGCACAAATGTTGACTGGACCATTGCCCTTGCAACAACATGCTCAGGCTTAAATTTTCTGTTACCATGGCAACAAGGGGACATCTCAAAATTGCCAAAAATCACTATTTTGCGTTGATTTTTTCCATCAAAATTGATTTCAAAGTGTTGCAACTTCTCAATTGATTGAGATAGAGTGAAATGCTTTTCAGCGTTGGTTACACGTTACCTTATGATCAATCTGGGTCATTTATAGCCCCCCTTCAACCCCCCCCAAACAGAAGGGGAAACATCCCCCTTCTGGCAACCCCCTGATGTATCTTTTGGTTGGCGGCCGCGCTGAAAAAGTGGTCACTTTTTTTAACAACATTTCTCAAACAAAAACAAGTGTTGGGGGCCTAAATAAGGCATTTGTTCACCATTTGAGACAACGAGACAACAAAAAGGGGGGGGGGGTGAAAAAGGTGTGTATATTGCTTAATGGGTTAAGCACATTTTAACCTAAATTTTGCAGAATGGCTTTTAACTTTGAACAGTCCATTACAAGTTTACACATTTTTGCAGGCTGGCCTGGCTCTATATTTGTGGTAAATTTAAGGCTTACTTTCAATTTCAGCAGGGTCAGGTAAGCCTATTTTTTCCATATTCAAATATAACTCCCCAAACTCAATAGTGGATGATGGAAATCTTACACTGAATTACTAAGAAATTTCAAACTATGAGAAAATCAAACAATTAAATGATTCTACTTGATTCCCAATAATGAAATACATAGAAAAGTTTAGCAATAAGTGTATAGAAATGTGTACTGTTGCTTTGAACCGATGAGCTTCTTACTAAAGGTATAATGGCAAAAGTGCAATACTTACATCATCAAATACTTTAGACTGTACAATGTTGAAATGAGCGTAGTTAAATATTCTTCTGTAATTTTCAGCTGCGATAAGTTAAGTTGCAAAGCATAAATACATATTTTGAAATGTCAATGAGAAAACTTTAGGTTACATAAATAAGTTTCCTGCATCCCTGGATTTGAATTCAAAGAAAAGAATAACAAGTCTTGCAAACAAATTCAATAAAATAAAAGATGTATTCAAAGTCAAATTTTAAGGATCATAATCATTATGTTAAAAGGAAAGGCAGGGCCTTGTAGCTAAAGTGTAAGGATCATGGGTTACAGCCCTACTGTGGTCAAGACCTAGTTTCTTAATACAACATCATGACAAATGCACATTTTGATGCTCTAACACTAAGTTTAACTGAAGAAATATCAATGATTATTATCATCATGTCAGCAATAATGGAAAAATAATCCAGCAATAGGCATGAGTGTTGTCATCTATAAATTAAGTTGTACACTTTCACAATTATATATTTGAAGACCTCAACTTAGTTGACCCTCAGTGCATTACTCACAATCTAACTCGCTACAATATAAAGGATATGTATTTCAGTGACTGGTTTTAGTTTTATTCCCATTCTGTATTGATCAAGAGGAACTGAAATTGAATATAAAAACTATAATGTTTTATATTTAGTACATACTATGGCTAACTAATCAATTCATAACTTTAAAGTAAACATAATGTTAACCACTTCTAATTCTCATGCCTCATTTGATTTATTTTATGTTTGCCATTCATGCCTCATGCCTTTTTCTATCATTTCTAACAGCTCTTATTATATATAAAAAAAATCTTCATTTCATTTTCAGAATTCAGTGTGATAGAAAAGTACAGATTATGTTGGCAAGCATATTTTTCTTTTTATTATTTTAGACCATTGAAAATAAAATTGATTTATTTGTATGCAAATTCAGATTCCATTAATATTAAATACATTTTTTAAAACAATTTTTTCAAAATTCAAATTACAATGTTGAAGTATAATTTCTGTGTTCCTTTCAATGACTGGCCAAACAGTAATGAGTCTTTTAGAAAAGTCGCTTTTAATTCAAGAAAAGGAACAATGAAACCATGCAGTGATTTATAGACAGCTAGGCATTCTCCAAATGACAAAACTTTTGAAAATTCCCAATTATATTATTTAATATTAAAAATCTAAAACTTGTGAAGATTTTCACCAACCAGCCAACCATTTTAGCTTTCATTGCTTTTTTTTTGTCCAAAAACACCATCTATAAAACTGAAAAAAGTAAATGTTTTAAATTTTTTTGTGAAAGTAAATCAAATAACTGTTGACACTCAAACCTGCCACTAAGCCCGGTGTGTAAAGCTGGTCTCTTGGTGTCCTCCCAGCTGGTGTTAAGCACTGCTTTAATTGCTTCCTTCCTCTATTGCCAGTAACTTGGGTATCAAACCTTGCAGTATTAGACATAGAATCCTCAAATAAATCCTCCTGACTGTCATTCTCCACCTCTGCTACAAGTGGAGAAATTATTTTTCTCCCTGAATGTCCACCACTGTGTCCAAAGTGTGCATTACCTCTGTTATCTGATGGCTGAGGAATACCGGTACCCATTTTCAGAAAACTATTTCTGTTACTATTAGATAGAAACAATCCGTTTCTTCTTTTTTCAGCTGAAATAAAAATGTTTGTCTCTGATTACAGCTCAAATATCTAATTCTACAGCAAAAATGACTGTAAAAAATTTTAAGCAATGATATGATAACATTATGGTATGTCATCAACATCACTTCACAGTTAGAGGAAATACCATTTATTCTCAGACCATTAATACCAATGCGGGTATAATCTTTACAAACTTTTAACAGTGATGTAACCAATTATTTGCTTATTACACTTACTAGTACTGAGCTAGGCAGACCTGGGTTTATTGTTGGCTGCTTCATCATTTTGATATTGAAATCACCTTAATCAAATTATGGGCAGCATCAAAAACCAGTTAGACATAATATCGACATCGTCAAGCATACAATTTCAACTACTTTACTGGTAATATGAGTATTTTGGTGCCTTTATATTCAATCATTTCAACATAACAAAGACTTGTATGATTCATGGATTGTAGAATCGTATAAATTCATTTAAAAGAAATCAAAGAATAATCAGCTTTCAAATCTGTAAATGACATTCTAAGATCATTTATGTACTTAATAAAATAGATGTTTGTTTTATATAACAATTATTTCAATTTATAACCTGTACCTTGTTCTCCAGTCCTAGGTGCAACATAAACTCTGGTTTTATTTGGTTGTTTCTTTATGTTGGACTTTGAATGACCTTGGTTTGATCTCTGTGAAGCAGCTTCTAAACAATGAACATTCCAGACTTGCCTTTCTGTGGACATTGGAACTTGTGATGATCCGATGTTGTGAACAAGTGGAAACTGGGAGCCCAAAAATATATCATCACAATCGCCCCTGAGAATTATCACAAAATTATATTCATTTCATTACATTTGTTTCAAATTAGAGATCTCTTAAAATTATTTTGAAACAGGCATATAATTATGTAAGTATATACTGATAGGATTATTTTCCTTCCTGAAAAGTCACACCTTAACATGATAAGTTAGCTTAAAGGTCTAGTCACAATTTGAATTTTGAATTGCCCAAGATTTTGATATCAAATTATTAAAACAGAGCAGCTAGGAATATAGTTTGGTCAGTCTGCATCCAATAAATTTAAGTTGCATAGTTAATCATTATCTTGAAAATTGTGCATAATGCATGACAAGTAGCTTATCATGCAGGATGAGAGGCATTCACTGAGAACCAGTGAAATTTTTTATCCATGTTAAAAATAAATTCATTACTTCTCTGATACAGTTTTTCTATATAGTGCTTGGCCACTGGTATTGCTTAAATCCTTTCTCCCTGAAATATATACTGATAATGATTATTACAGTTTTGTTTGCATAACTAGTCTCCTTTTTTCCTATCAAAACCATTTGTAAAACAAGTAATACAAGCTAATCCTATTCTCAAGCAAAATCTTCAAAAAACATTTTACAGGACAAAGATAGAGAGAAATTGTTACATTAATGATTTCATGGGATATATGAAGCAATATACTTAGTCTTACTTTTAAATCATAAAGAAACTTCAACACTAAGTAAAAAGTTTTAGATCATTATCAAAGATAAATAAATAAGAAACTATAACGAAAAGATGTAAATTAATACAGCACTGTATAAATATTAGTTGATAATATTGTACAAGGATTAATTTATTATGAGGATACATAACAAACCACATGGAAACCTATTTGTGAAGCTTGTGTAGGTGGCATCCACTGTGATGGTTGTAGGTCAAGCAAGCTATTCTTGCCATCACTGTTAAGCAATGTACCAAAATCAGGAATGTCTGTAAACACTGGCGCTTCTGGCACATCAAAATATTGTCTGGCACTTTGAGCTCTGAAAATTGTTCATGAAATCCTATAATAATTTTTTTCTTAATTATCATGAAAAATTGATAACAAATATATGAAAAGTACAGTACCCTGATTTGTTGCCTTAATAGACCCTTTCCTGATTAAAGATAAAGTCATTTTAATGATTTTACCAATTCTATAATTTCCTTACTAAAATTATTGTTAGGTTTACTTTTATTCCGAATTTTGGCATCACACATTACAGGTGCCTGATGTCTAACACTTACCAGTGCTTACCCTACTTCGATATATAATAAAAAACATTTTAGATTAAAATGAAGTATTAAGGGGATATTTGACGTCAGGCCCCGGTGTCAGGTAGTGGTCAGTGCATTTTGGTTTATTTTTTTCCTAATCAGAGCAGATCAAAATTTCAAACAATCTGGAAGAGTAAAATATCTTATCACTGTTGACATCGTTAAATAACACAAAAATTAATGAACAATTGACATTAAATTGTTAAACTGCAAGCATATAACTACATAAAATATACATAAAGAATCCTTACTTTTCTTTACTTTTCATCTTGTTCATGTTTATTGCACGATCATTTTCATGTTTTTCTGAGAAGATCTGACTCAAGTCTATAACGCCAGCCATCATTGAAGTAAAGATGTCCCAACGCAGCACAAATTATCAACTCATTCTTTCAACGACAATTTCAAACAAAACATTGCAAATAATTGGATTCTTAAATGAAAATGTTGAATATTGTATGAACTCTCAGCATCCGTGACAAAATCGTCTGCAATTGAGAAGTACTATTTTCTGTGCATGCCGTTTCATATTGTAGGCCGTACCAGAATAGGCTTTAAGGTACTAAACGCAGTTTCTTCTTGGTTCCATATGCAATGACCGCTCTTCACAGGATCCTAAACATTGTTGGTTCCAGATTCTGACTCATGTTTAGATCTATTTATGTACCCTTTTCAATGAATGGCATATTTTCAGTGCAGTACAGTATCGATACAACATTTAAATTCGGAGTTTTTGGTAGCGTTGATTAAAATCACTCGAAGTTACATGTATTTTCGATCAAGCTGAATGACTTGAATCATGTTTTGCTTTTTAAGTGTTATTTTGAAATTTTTTGATTTCTTAATAACAAACTCATGACATCTGAAGATAAAAGGTTGCCAACTTTTGTTGATCCATTTCAGCAATAAAGTTTAATGTGCACACCACTAATATGACAGAGGAAACTTGGAAATACAGTGTAGGGGCGACTTTGTTTATTATAAGATAATAAACATAAAGTTTGGGAGCAATTTCAGTAGTAAAAATGCTAAGTGGACTTTGTTATTTACCATGTCGATGAATTATTAAACTGTTAAAAATATTTTGAAGTCGAAAATGTATTAACTTGCTTAAATTTAACTTTAAAATAATGATGACAATATTTTTTATCGTAGTTTTAATCTTGAGATATGTTGCAAACTACATTGTCTCTCATGAACGACTCAATACAATCGAGTCTGTAATATCTTTTTGTTTTCTCTGTTTTCATTGCTCCCTGGGTATCTTCTTTTCCAGATTTTATTCTCACAATAGCAACTTTCGAGTGCATGGCAGCTGTAAAACGTTACATCGTACTTCATCTCAGTTTTGTTATATTTTTCTTGTCATTCGGGATCGTTATTTCCAGTATTTGAAGTAGTTTGGTATTGAATACTGCTTAAGCATGTGCTAGGAAGTGTAAAGGTGTATGTCGCGATATGAACAGTCTCAATAAAACTTAGTCTGCAGTTGCCATCTATTTGCTTTGTTAACATTGCTCTCGGGGGATCTCCTCTTTCACAGATTCATATCTGTAATGCAATAGATACTGTAATATGGGTCGAATATTTTGCAATATATCGAAAAACATGTAATGCCATATCGTTGCCCCCTCATAATGAATCACTTATCAGACATGCAACGTTTTTTGAACATTCAGGAAAACTAATCTTAATGATATAGTAAGGTTAAATGTCAGATTTAGTAACATTGTACACATGTACAATACATCATGTACAATACATCTTTGGATCTGGAAACTGTATATGCAGCGATTGAATAAAAAACAACCAAAAACAAAACAAAAACAGGAGGGCCCAGAGGGCTCTGAATCGCTCTCCTGAAAAATATGTTAAACGGTCAAAGTGGAGCCCCTTTTAACCCTAGAAGAAATAGTGAACATTAAAACATCACGAAAAACAGCGGATACACAGTACATATAAGAAAAATCAATGACCCCCGGAGCGGGGCCAATTTTGACCCTAGGGGTTTTTATTTCAACAAACATGATAGATATACACTAGAACATGTTTCATTCCAAATATCTGAGATATTACTCTTTTGAACTTGCACTAGTAGAGTTTTTAAGTTTCTACTACATACATGTATATATAAGGAAAATCAATGACCCCCTGGGGCGGGGCCAAATTTGACCCCAGGGCTTTTATTTGAACAAACTTGGTAGAAGATGTTTCATGTCAAATATCTAAGCTCTACCTACTTTTGGATTGTCACAAGAATATTTGTTTTAGTTTTTACTATATACATAGAAGGAAAATCAAAGTAGACATCCACCAGAAGATTTTTCAGCTCAAGCTCTTTCGGTTTTTTACAAGAATTTTTTTTGTAAAAATATCTTTTGGTTGCCGTGGCAACCAGGGTTTTTTATGGAATTTAATTCTTTGAACAAGTTTGGTAGAGCTTCATGCAAGGAACATCCCTGCAAAGTTTCAACAAATTTGGCAGCTAGAGTGGTTTAGGAGGAGAAGTTGTTTAAAGAAATTGTTGACGGACAGACGGACGACGGACAATTGGCCATCGCAAAAGCTCACCTTGAGGACAGTGTTCTCAGGTGAGCTAAAAAGAAAAAGCAAACAAAAAGTGATGATTATGTTTTCTTCGAGTGTTCGTATTTTCTTGTAAACAAGAATTAAAAAATTTCATCAAAATGTTTTGCTAACTGGTATAATTTAAGTTTATTCTTTTCCATAAAAAATAGAAAAGAAAATAAGTCCCTAATTTTTATAGACTATTCTTCTATTATTTTCCCCGAATTAAATAAAAAATGTCTTTTAATTAAATTAGGCAGACACAACCAGAATTATTAGAGTAATGTCTATACGAATTAGGTATTTTATGATAAAATATTATGCTATTTCAAATATTAGAATAAGAAATCAAAAATAAAATCCAATGGCCCAGAAAAGGACAAAAATCGTAAACACTATTGAAAGAATAAAAGTAGACACCAAAATTCTAGCGGAATAAGTACATTGAGATATAGAATAGCTAACAGAGCCTATGGAAACATGCTAAATGAACAATTTCACCGAAGAAAATCTTTCCAACATCACAAACAGAAAAGCCAGTTGTCCCAATATAGATCACTAATATCGATGTATTGAATAGCACCAATCGAAAAGAATCCTTGGGACCCTGATTACAAGATAATTTGATTTTATGGGTTTCAGCTACTCTATATTTTCATTTAGACTAATTATCTTAATTGGTCATTATTATTTCTGATACCATAAAATCTTGTAGCACTTGAATACCTTTTAGTATTCCAAAACCTATTTTTTTCGTGAGACGACCCCTATGAGATGCGAACTTAGTAACTTCCGGTTTCATTTTAATTTTCATTGGATGATAAAAATAGTAACATCAATTAGCGCAGTAAAATGGAAGCTGTTCGATGATTGACAGAAGTCAACGCGTATTTTCGTTCTTAATTATAGGCTATTTAACATGTGATTTTCACTAGAGGATTCTTTTATTATTCTTTCTAAAGGTGAGTTAAGTGAGTGACTGAATTGCCATATGGAAATAACATTTCCTACTCAAAGCAATTATTCCGGTTACAGAGTCTGCGACTGAGTCGGGAAGATGGCTGCAGAGAATTTGAAAGACACTCCTGATCAAAGTGACTCACGTTTGTTATCATTTAGGTTTCCATAGCATTATACACGTTTAAAAACGGTTATTATCTGAACAATTTATCTATATATTCAATGATTCATCGCATTGTTGCGAAAGCCACAATTTGAGTCAAAATTACAGCGTGATGAACACCGACAAAGGTACTTACTGGATGCTTTGTGTCATTGTTACAAATTAGGGGGAGTGTGCATGTCAAAAGTGATTGATTATTTTTGTCTGACAGCTGTTTCGGATGTTTTTTCTTTGTTTCTTTCCGTGGTTGTTGTTTTTAATCTTGTGTATGTCATAGAATAATGTTTCTGTTATTGTAAAGATAAAGTGGCAAAATTGATTTCAGGTAGTTTAAAAAGGGAATAAGATTTAAAATAATTAAACTTACAGCATGCACTCTTTTTGGAACCAACTTTACCTTAGACTAATAGTAGATCTATATGCTCTGAAAACAAAATGCTCCAGAATCAGTTTCAGCATTTAAATTATTTATATTCATTTACAACATTCCAATATATCGCTGACTTTTATTAATCTATACTTGCATGTATGCACTTTTCTAAAATGCGTACTATTTTCTAGTTTCTACTATTTTCTAAACCATTTCCTAAATGTCTACTACCTTCTAGTTATTGTAACAGTTTCAATCTTTTAATTGAGTCTTACAGCTGGCCTATAAAGGGATATCATGGGTTTGGTCCTAAGCTAAGTAATATGCCAAAAATTGATTTAAAAACGTCATTGCAGTGGGCTAGTATAAATTGAGCATTTGGCTCTGGCATTGAAGGTCAGTTCAGTGGTTACAGTAAAGATCATTATCATGTAATCGGAAGCATATATGTTAATGTGCTATGGTTCAATATTTCACTGAAGTAGCTACATGTACAATGTAGCATGTAAAAAGTTTGCCATGAAGTTCACTGTTCTGTTGAGAAAGATGCTACACATCAAATCCACACACTTTTATCATTTTTCAATGTGTTTTTTCAGGTAGCGACAATTAATCATAAAATGATAAATGATATATTGATAAATAAATGCTATATAGATGAATATTCAGTCAATACTCCTGAAAATTGAATTGTTATCAATGTTGGGTCTCTGATTTGTATATAATACAGTTAATTTTTGTTTTGTCTTATTAAGATTTGTTAAACACAAAGTGTATTTTAAAGATTTACACAAAGTGTATTCTATTAACTAAGGACATATTAATTACGTTGCAATGTTCAGTCGCAGACATAAAGGAAGTACTGCAAGTTAAGTGCATATCTTTTATGTTATAGACTTCATCAATGATCAAGAATTGTACAAGCAAAAAAGTTTCATTGCACTGCAGATAATAATAATAATCATTGCACTGCAGATAATAATAATAATAATCAAAATCTCCCTATGGTCAATGTTCACCAATTTGTTTCAAAAAATAGTTAGTGCAGAGCTCTAGCCTTTTTCAGAATTATTTTTTGTCCCAGAAGTATAAGTTACCAATATATAACATAAAGGTGTAAAGCTACATAATTATATGTATACACAGATTTGGTTAAATATTCGTCCTGAACATCAGGATATTACTATAGCACATTAGGTTAAGACTAGATGCATCCGCATTCTACCATATATTCAAATAATAACTCTAAATAACTCTTACATTATTGAAAACTAGCTTTCACTGTCAGAATTCTTTTTGTTACATTTTACATGCATTTACCCTGTTCCCAAACATTTATTTTCAGCTTTACTTCAATTCTAAACTATTGTTAAAGGAAGTAATGGTAGAATCAATGCACTATCAGTATTTTTATTTTCATTTAAATTGTTTATTTACTATTCGTTATTCCATATCTTACGTGTCTGAAACAATTAGAATGATATTGAAATGCAGCATTGATTGACTTCATATCGCCACACTTCATTTATAATTTTATATGTTGCTGTGTGGCTATATAAGTTTTTCAAGATTTTTTTTCATTGCAAAAACAAAAATCAATTTATAGTTACTTTTATTATATATTCTAGTGGTCATTTAATATGTTGGGAATTTGTTACCTTAGGCTAATTTAGGCAACAGATTAACTCCTTATAAATTAAATAGTCTACTGTATTGATTACAAATGCAAAAAAATAAAGACTGGTAATCAAATAATTTTTTTTGTGATGGCCTTTTTATTTACATCCACTGCTACAGATGTTGAAGATATAAAAAATTAATCGACAGGTATTTACATCGTCTGAGTCTACTGGCATGTGTTAAACATGTATGTACTAAATCAATCGTACACATTGAACATGAGTAGACTTACTATAAAAAATGTAGCAACATGTTTTTGTACATACATCTGTACGATTTTTGTAATTTCCATTTAATTAGATGGCGATACTTGTTTTGATACACCTGTAGGAGGAATATAAGCCTTGTTGACTTTGTATGTTCGTCTTTTTGAGTAAAATATACTTAAGCATACATCAAAAGGATACCTAACAGAGGAATACTAATATAAAGAAAATTGCTTTCGCAAGGTTAGGCAGTAATTTAGATTTTTCTTTAGAATCTGAGATGGGAGTTTATTTGATAAAGATTGATCAAAACGAATGCAATCCATTTGAGCCATGTTGCAGGATTGCTCACACCATTCAAGGAAGTTAGAGACCAACAAATTAAGCGTTACGTGCTGCAAAAATTTGCAAAAGAAAAGTGTTCTGGTTCAGTGAAATTTTTAATCTACATTAAATTCATGAACTGATTTATAGTAATTGGACCAAAAACTATTTTATACTTTCTGGCAATTATGTGTCTTAAGTTTTGTTTACATGTACATTGAACATCATGTTGCTTGTACAGATATATTTTGAATATTAGAATTATTGGTTATGTATGCTCCTAAGTAAGACTTAAGAATGCATTTTGTTTGAAGTTCCACTCACAGAGATAAATTTTGGATTTTCACCAAATCTCTATTTATTGATAATGATTTTAAACAGAATCAATTACAAGTGAATGAAGTATTTGGCTTGAAGGACATGTTCCATTCCTTTTCATTAATATTTAGGTTGAGTTTTATTGTTTATTTTCTTTCTAATAAATTTTAAGGTACAGGCTAGCTAGACGTGAAAAAACTTTTCAAAATGATGATGATAAAAATTAACTTCCCCCAAACCTTGCCTAACAGCTGTACCTTGTAAGATCAAAATTGAGCAAAAAGACTCCACATAATACTTACGTAATAAAGGTATACTCAATAATTGTGCCATAGCTATTTACATTTCAATATATTTGTAAAAAAATTTAATCAAGGACAGGTCAGATTGGAAACCAGTGAGTTCAGTTAACTTAGTGTTTGTCAGTCATTAGTTTAATCGTATAATGTAATTATTTAATCCTAAAGATGTATGTTAAACTATAAAAACAGATATTTTCGCATGGAATTAAAATTTGCTTATTTTGCTTCTCGAAGATTTAAGCAAATATAAATGTTTGCTTAAGTATCTTACAAATTAAAGGCTTTTTTGACATGACGGGACTAGAAATATTTTTTTTAGTTATATTTTATTAATATTTCTGTTTAAAGTGCTCGACATGTTTATCTATGTGAAAAATTAAAATGTTATGTTTTAGGCTTATAAACCTCAGTGGAGTTCCTTTAAGTCCAAAAAGTTGATTTCGCGAAATTTTGGCCCTATGAAAATATCTTATTGTACAGTACTTACTACTACATGACCTAAACTTGGAACTAAACTTGAAAACTACAAAGTTTTTTTTTGCCGCACAATTTTTTTTTTTTCTTCCTATGGAATATGATCAAGCTCTACAAGTGGTCCTTGGCCTGTCAGAACTGGATTAGGAAAACTAGAGTAAATTCGGGAATTAATTGAAATTTGTTGCAAAACTTGTAGGAAAATTCCCAATAAGACTGCCTGATTGTGTTGTTTGTAGTGTTCTAAGTGTTTGAACGAGTCATTGCAAAAATCAGTTATCACAATATTTACATAGTAAGCACATACAATCTTTTTGCATTATACTCACCGCATGAGAATTATTGTAAAAAATAGACCTACAGAAAATTTTCTTAGAAGATTTCTGAAATTAGAGACACTTTGATAAAGATCTGTCTAAACTTGATTCAACTCTAATTTTCATGCTGAGTTTGCATTCTCACTGGAATTACACTTCTCAAGGCTTTTAGGCCAGACAGTTTTGCTCAATTTTGTGCTGAACTTTATCACAGAATAACTTGGTTTGTTTAAGGCTGTTATATTGTGTTTTCATTACTCATTGTGTTAAAGTCACGAAAGGCAGCACTTCAGTCTTCAGTTAATTTCTGTGAGATTGAATAAAAGTTTTAAGGTCAAAGCAAATGGATACATGTAAATTGAAATTTTAGGCCATGGTGCATGAAAGAAATAAAATTTTATTTCACAGTATTAAACAGAAATGTTGCAAGGGATAGATCAGGCCACGTATAACATTTAAGACATGTACATTGTATTCTAATTTCTTTATCCTTTTGCGATAAATTTTTACTTGCAGTATGGGCCTCTTTTGAATTTTGATTGGAATAAAATTTGCTGTCAAATGCACTATTTTCATTAAACCTATCTGTAATAAAGATAAGCCCTTGCTTCAAGTTATCTTTTTATCTTACAGTTCAAAACCAGTCTCAAAATTGCAATGTTCAGCCCTTTTCATTGGTTAAATTCAAATAGTCTTTTCAGTTTTTTGAAACAGCCAATGACAACTTGTAATTTGATATGGGCACATAATTTCTTGAAAAATGTATATATTTACCAAATTTAAACAGATAGGGTTGATAATTGAAATGTAAACATACATGTACTACTTAAGACAAGATATCACAGTAC